GGTGGAGACAGAAGGGAGAGGTGGAGTTGGAGAGGAGAGAGGTGGAGACAGAGAAGGGAGAGGTGGAGTTGGAGAGGAGAGAGGTGGAGACAGAAGGGAGAGGTGGAGTTGGAGAGGAGAGAGGTGGAGACAGAGAAGGGAGAGGTGGAGTTGGAGAGGAGAGAGGTGGAGACAGAAGGGAGAGGTGGAGTTGGAGAGGAGAGAGGTGGAGACAGAAGGGAGAGGTGGAGTTGGAGAGGAGAGAGGTGGAGACAGAGAAGGGAGAGGTGGAGTTGGAGAGGAGAGAGGTGGAGACAGAAGGGAGAGGTGGAGTTGGAGAGGAGAGAGGTGGAGACAGAGAAGGGAGAGGTGGAGTTGGAGAGGAGAGAGGTGGAGACAGAGAAGGGAGAGGTGGAGTTGGAGAGGAGAGAGGTGGAGACAGAGAAGGGAGAGGTGGAGTTGGAGAGGAGAGAGGTGGAGACAGAAGGGAGAGGTGGAGTTGGAGAGGAGAGAGGTGGAGACAGAGAAGGGAGAGGTGGAGTTGGAGAGGAGAGAGGTGGAGACAGAAGGGAGAGGTGGAGTTGGAGAGGAGAGAGGTGGAGACAGAGAAGGGAGAGGTGGAGTTGGAGAGGAGAGAGGTGGAGACAGAGAAGGGAGAGGTGGAGTTGGAGAGGAGAGAGGTGGAGACAGAAGGGAGAGGTGGAGTTGGAGAGGAGAGAGGTGGAGACAGAGAAGGGAGAGGTGGAGTTGGAGAGGAGAGAGGTGGAGACAGAGAAGGGAGAGGTGGAGTTGGAGAGGAGAGAGGTGGAGACAGAGAAGGGAGAGGTGGAGTTGGAGAGGAGAGAGGTGGAGACAGAAGGGAGAGGTGGAGTTGGAGAGGAGAGAGGTGGAGACAGAGAAGGGAGAGGTGGAGTTGGAGAGGAGAGAGGTGGAGACAGAAGGGAGAGGTGGAGTTGAGAGGAGAGAGGTGGAGACAGAGAAGGGAGAGGTGGAGTGGCGGTGGAGAGAGAGACATAAAGCCTGTAATGTCATGTTTCCACGACAACGGTGTACAGTGTGTGCTTCTCCTCTAATGAGCCATGTCCACGAATGTATATCAGTGTGTGTAAGTGTGTGTAAGTGTGTGTAAGTGTGTGTAAGTGTATATTAGTGCATATTAGTATTTATTAGTGTATATTAGTATTTATTAGTGTATATTAGTATTTATTAGTGTATATTAGCGCTGGGAAAACAAATGTAGATCGTTTAGAACATTACCCAGATGTGGATGGTTGAGCTATAGATAGACAGCAGCAGAAGACTCATCCATGTTTGTTGTACAGTCTGACAGCCGAAGGAACAAAGAATCTCCTGAAACGTTCCGTTCGGCAGCGCAGTGATAGGAGGAGTAAGTTTTAGCACTTACTGAAAGCAAGCAAAGATAAAAAAGAAGGGGGAAAAAAACCTTTTGGGGGAATTTCTCTGGATTCCATTGGTTTGAATGGGAGCAGTCAAAATGGCGGCTTCTGGGAGTCCTCGTCTTAAGCAGGAACTTCAATGAAAGGCATAATATTGACCCAAATGGGACAGAAACCAACAACATTGTGCTCTTTGACAATGACCTCTTTGACAATAAACAAATCCACTCTTCATGTTTAAACCTACCTCAAACTTCATCCATTTTGTTTTGCAGCTTCGGATAACGCCACGTTCAGCCTCCAAACCGTGTGAAAACAAAAAAACACGTCATGATTTTAAAACTTCTCTCTTTTGCTTGGTTCATTCCAGGGAGAAACCAAATCCCGCCCTCCCCCAAAACGCTGGAGCACCATCTTCTAAGGAGGAGACCCAACCCGGAGAACCAGCCCAGACCAGGAGAAACCGCGGCCTGAAGAAGAACTAACTAATAACTAACCCGGAACAGCACAAAGGCTTTAGTAAAAGTCTAGTTTTGACTTAAACGGGGCTGAAACAACGGCGTTACACACGTTTTCTTTCTTAACTGTTGCTGTGAACGTCCGTGGTCTGAATAACAGGGTTCAGCTCAGATCTATGTCTTGAATGATGAATTTTAACAATGCAAAAACACGGTTAGCTAAAGTCCAGGGCGAGCCTTTGTCTGCGTCTCTACAGTCTTCTTGTGTTTGCTTTCCGTCCGTTTTGGGGCAAAGAAAAAACTGGTCAAAAGGTGCTATGTGTGCGTTATTTCAAGGCGAGTCTTAACAACCCTGTCTGTGAATGTTGTAAATAAATAACTATCAAAAGGCTATATGTGGAGATCTAAAGGACAGCAGCGATGCCGAGGTGTCCTGCACAAACATGGACTTTATATGATCTTAAATAATCCGCACTGTACAGAAACATGCCCTTTAAATGCACTATGACCAAAGTCTTAAAAACCACTCACTCTTCTTCCCGTGCAGCTGAGTTAACCTCCACGTTTTCACTCTGCATGTAGTGTTGACTTAATTTCATACCAAATATTTATATTACTTGTATTTTTGAGGGAAAGTAGAGGAAGAAATGGAAAGTTGATCAAAAGGGACCAAAGTGAAGGCGTAAAGATTGTGTGTTTGTCAAGAAAGTGACTTAAACGATAATATTGTCTGTGATATTGACCCGCGCTGTTTGTAGCAAATATATTTATATTTATCAGTCTTGCATGGATCTGTTTTGAATTAAGTGTTTTTCGCCAAGATTTCCTGATCGTGCCCAAGTCTAATGAGAAATGTATTGTATGTTGTTCAATGTGAGTTATTAAAATGTGTTTAAAATAGACCTGTGTTTTCTGATGATGTGAATAATAGTCATTAAAGACATGGAATATTACAAACAATATTCAAATATGGTTTTAAGACTGAAAATGGGAAATATCCAGAACCGAGCAGAGGCGGCGCTAACGTTTAAAACGGGCCCCCAATCAAATGCCTTCATGGCCCCCCCTTGTCTCGACCCTACATCGCTCAGAAGTGAAGTGACGCAAAACAACGAAATAATCTGTCGTTGTCAAACACATTCTGTCCAAGAAACCAGCAACGTTTTAATTAAATTAGTCCTGTGCTGTTTGTAAGTAATTAAGTAATGTTTATTTATATACAGTAGCACATTTTACAGACGAAGAACCAGTGAGATTAGTGTAGTGGTTTACTTTGATTGTCAATAAGAACTTTCACAGGAGCCGAGAATAAAAATTAATATAATGCCTTTATTAACTCAATTAACAATACATGGGAGACCCGTCAATCATGCATGGAGCTCTGCGCAGAAGAAGCTCCCCGTCACTCCTTGCTTTCCTTTTTAACTGCTCCTGTCAATACCAAATATGGAATCCTGGCATGGAATCTTAGCTGCGACCGAATAACAGGATCCAGATGTTTCCTTTATGACTATTACCAAACAGAATTCTTTACCGGTCAACAGACAGTGTTCAGGTCAGGCCGACCCAGCCGTTCCTAAACATATCCCAAAAGAACATTCCATTGCACTTAGGAAATCATAATATTTGTCAAACATTCTACCACATATTTCCCCCCCTTTCATGGCTCCCAGCCATGAATTAAGTTCCTTCACTAACTTTTCCTCAGCCTTAGCAAAGTAGTTACATGAGTTACACAATAATGTCAAACACTTAGTAAATGAGAGTAAATGAGATAACATAACTTTCAAACACTTGATACATGATACAAAACAATATCACTCTTGAGTGTAGGCGTTGGCAGAACTTGGCTCGCACTTGCATTGTACATTATTTTGATTAAACATGAACTTAAGATGGACGAGTGGTCAAAAAGTAGGTATACTGTCACAGTCCATGGTCTTTTCATCGTCCAACGAGTCGTCCTCCGCTAACCAGTCCTTGATGGGGAACTGCTCTGGTCGGCTACTCTTGCTCTCCACATTCAGCACTAACATCTGTCTTGTTACCCCTCGCACCACTACTGCTCTCAATACCGGAATGCAACAGCAGAGGACAAGACTTATTGCCACAATGCAAATAATAACTGGTACTCCAATCTTCACCAACCCCAGTTTCCATGATCCTAAAGTCTGCTGTAGCCAGCTCAGCCAGTCCAACTCTGCATCCCTTCCAGCATTCTTCTTCATCTCTAACCTTAGAGCCTTGATTTTCCCCATTGCCTGTGTGAAAGCTCCTCCTACTCCTGTATGATCGGGAATAAATGTACAACAGTATTCACCCACTAGGGCACAGACCCCTGAGGTCTCTGCCAAAACCCAGTCTAAGGCCTGTCTATTCTGCCAGGCTACAGCACTAGTTGCATGCAACTGCTCTCCCAGGGCTGACATGGCACTATCCGTGTAATTGATGAACTGCTGGAAATTGTAGTAAATGTAGTTTATCCACTCAGTGTTTTTATTTGTGGAGATCCAGGGAAAAATGGATTCAAACCCTGACTTAATTTCAGATCTTGCCTTAAACTCCTCTGGGATCCCTCTAGGCTGCCCAATACTGTCTAAATACACACCAGGGTTTGGTCGGAACGCCCTCTTCACCCTCTTACTATCACTTGTTTCCTCCCCCTGTGGGAAAACAATGAGCTCCTGCACCACCTGCACTCTGGCGCATCTTCCGGACCAGTTGCCTGGAAGAACAGGAAACAGTACTTGGCCTCCACACCACCAAAAGTGATCGGAGAGAGGCGTTACCTGACTATGGAACGGGCAGGCAGGGACATACACAGTCTCCAATTGGGGTCCCTTAATCTGGACAGCTCGCTTCAGGGTAGACTTATTACAGTTGGCATTTACATTCCAGAGGCTACTACACTTAGTTGCCTTGACTTCTCCCAACCTTACTGACCCTGTCTTTTCTATGCACTCGTACCGGCCTACAGGAAAGAATGCCACACCTCCCGGGGTCCCCATTTTTGCGCTCTGCATGCTTACTCTAACGTCTATCTCTGCACAGCGCTGAGTGTTTGTTTTACCTTTGTGCATAAACTCAACCTGCTCTTTGTACTGCGGGGTTCCCAAATACAACAGGCACTCCGCTTTACACCATACGCGCAGCGGGTCATTCTCTCTTACTGCTGTGTCACTACACTCCTTCCAACTAAACACAGTATTAAAAAGGAACAAAGGATCGGCCCTTGCCTTTGTACAAACGTAGCAGTCAGTCATTCCATTTGTCCGGCCTGCATACTGAACCCACTGATACCAGCTGTTGTATTCTGCGCGATTTAGTAGTCTATCTGGCTCTACCTCCTCGGTCTCATCACCTAGCCCTGCACCAATTCTCGAAACAAAACCTCCAGCCGCCTGTCCTATCCCAGCCACCGTCCTGTGAAACCAGTCCGTCCAATTTAGGTTAGTCTTAACCACGTCACTGATCTCTGCAGTTTTTAAATTTATTCTATCCCCGTCATGCTTCTCCATTGAGTTGTCTCTCCGTACGTCAGTCACCAGTACGTCAGGATTTTTGGTAACCATGATAGTACCGCTGAGACGTGAGCTGGACTGCCCAAATGCCCCTTATGATCTGGACTGATGACATGACCACGTTCAATGTTTATGTGAAGACTTCTGACTATCGACTGTGTGGGATCGGTTGGTCACTTGGGAGAAAGAAGATGATTAGGTCAACGTGGGGTGAAAGAGACTGTGGTATTGCCATAAAGGAAAAAGGCGATGTGTGGCTAGTACGGGTGGAATTTGACCCACTGAAAGGACAATTACCACAGACATACGTTGTGGGACGGACCAAGCTTTTCGTAGCTGGAATTGAGGAACGTGAAGTTAAATTGAACCCTCCGGGGTACAAAGACGAGACTGTTATAAAGATGGAGGAAAAAGACCACATGACTGTGGACCAAGGCATGCGGGTGGACTTACCCGCCAGCCCAGACAAAACAGGACAGAGTGACGGAACTCTACACACAGAACGTGGGACTGAACTTGCTTCTAGAGAGTCACCGATCCAGGAGAGACTGTTGAGGCCCTCAGAACTGGAAGAGGGGACACTATCCAGAGGGTCACCGATCCAGGAGAGACTGTTGAAGCCCTCAGAACTAGAGGACCGGACTGTGATAAAGGTGTCACCCATCCAAAAGAGACTGATGGACTCACCAGAACTGACTGACAAAACTGATGCTGGAGCCCAAATACAGCAGAAAAACCCTACCAACCTTGACATAGCTCGCCTAGCGGACAATCAGAATGATCAGGCAGACACTGACCTGACTGGACAGAGTAGGGCTGACCTGATAGTCCCGGATGGCCAAAACCGAAATCCTGTTCGTGACGCCAATTTGTAGTGGTTTACTTTGATTGTCAATAAGAACTTTCACAGGAGCCGAGAATAAAAATTAATATAATGCCTTTATTAACTCAATTAACAATACATGGGAGACCCGTCAATCATGCATGGAGCTCTGCGCAGAAGAAGCTCCCCGTCACTCCTTGCTTTCCTTTTTAACTGCTCCTGTCAATACCAAATATGGAATCCTGGCATGGAATCTTAGCTGCGACCGAATAACAGGATCCAGATGTTTCCTTTATGACTATTACCAAACAGAATTCTTTACCGGTCAACAGACAGTGTTCAGGTCAGGCCGACCCAGCCGTTCCTAAACATATCCCAAAAGAACATTCCATTGCACTTAGGAAATCATAATATTTGTCAAACATTCTACCACATTAGCTCCACATGGTACTTTACCAGTGAGATTAGCTCCACATGGTACTTTACCAGTGAGATTAGCTCCACATGGTACTTTACCAGTGAGATTAGCTCCACATGGTACTTTACCAGTGAGATTAGCTCCACATGGTACTTTACCAGTGAGATTAGCTCCACATGGTACTTTACCAGTGAGATTAGCTCCACATGGTACTTTACCGGTGAGATTAGCTCCACATGGTACTTTACCAGTGAGATTAGCTCCACATGGTACTTTACCAGTGAGATTAGCTCCACATGGTACTTTACCAGTGAGATTTGCTCCACATGGTACTTTACCAGTGAGATTAGCTCCACATGGTACTTTACCAGTGAGATTAGCTCCACATGGTACTTTACCGGTGAGATTAGCTCCACATGGTACTTTACCAGTGAGATTAGCTCCACATGGTACTTTACCAGTGAGATTAGCTCCACATGGTACTTTACCAGTGAGATTAGCTCCACATGGTACTTTACCAGTGAGATTAGCTCCACATGGTACTTTACCAGTGAGATTAGCTCCACGCGGTGAGTTCTGGCGCCCGGATCACAGACTTTCTGATTGGTGAAACGGTGGAGGGCGGGACATCGAAATGAAAACAATAACAAGACAAACCTGGATCTCAGTCTTTTTCACTTTTTTGGTTCTGATTTTTTTCATTTATTCATCTTTAAGTTTGATCGGGACAAAGTACGTTAAAGAACATCAGTATAAAACATATGTAAATATCCCGGATTATAGTTACAAAGCTGTGGAGACTGTCGGGTCCCCTCCTAAGGCCTAAAACTGGTCCAAACAAGTCTTAAATGGGTCCAAACAGGTCTAAACTGGTCCAAACAGGTCTAGAACTGGTCCAAACAGGTTTAAAACTGGTCCAAACAGGTCTAGAACTGGTCCAAAAAGGTTTAAAACTGGTCCAAACAGGTCTAAACAGGTCCAACCAGGCCTAAACTGGTCCAAACAGGTCTAAAGTGGGTCCAAACAGGTCTATAATTGGTCCAAACAGGTCTTAAACTGGTCCAAACAGGTCTAACGTGGGTCCAAACAGGTTTAAAACTGGTCCGTGTCATAATTAGTGCAGAGTTGTAAGAACTCCTCCAGAAGAAGCTTGTGGCTCTTCCTCTGACCTACTTTATTCCGTCTTCACTTCGAGCCTTTGTTGTTGTTTCTGTCTTTGCCAAAAGCGTCTTTTCTTTCATTGAAATGTAAATGTTCTACGTCATTGTGTTGGTTACATTTACGCAGATGATGGTTTAATGAATCCTGGAGTCAGATTCTGCACAGAGCGGCCCCCTGGTGCTCCCAGTCCTCAGCCTTTATACAGAGACACCATGAACAACTGTACCATGTGTGATGTTTATGGTAATGAGTAATGACTGTTACTGTTACAAATACTCACTGATTATACGGTTATAATTATCACTGTTTAAAGCTGGGGACGCTTCTGTTCAATAAATATTCTGTGTTGGTCCAAAGAAGAGCCTTTTTGAACATATTAGACCAAAGCTGTCAGACCTCTGAAGCTAAGCAGGACAGGGCCTGGCTAGTACTGTGATGGGAGACCTCTGGGAACAGCAGGTGCCACAGTGGGGCGGCTGTGGCTGTAAAGTGCCAAACTGTGGTTGTGTCCTTAGGCAAGACACTTCCCCCACATTAGAATGAGTCTGGTGTGTGTGTGAGTGGTTGGTGGTGGTGGGAGGGGCCGATGGCACAGACTGGTGGTCTCGCTTCTGTCAGTGTGCCCCAGGGCAGCTGTGGCTACAGTAGTTTATCACCACCGTGTTTGGAGAGAGAGAATAATGAAGTGAAGAGACTTTGAGTCCAAAAAAGCACTGTACAAAACCAATGTATAATTATTATTATTATTATTATTATTATTATTATTACTCAGATGTGACAGATCCACGTCTTTGTAATTAAGTGCAAACGAATAAAGAACCAAAGTTTGTTCAGAGCAAAGAACTAAAAGCAGAGATAAGGATATTTTAAAGTAAAAATGTTGAGAGACAATTACTGAGACTGTTGTTTTTCTCGATCTGTGTCTGTGTGTGTGTACGTGTGTGTGTGTGTACGTGTGTGTGTCTGTGTACGTGTGTGTGTCTGTGTACGTGTGTGTGTCTGTGTGTCTGTGTACGTGTGTGTACCTGTGTACGTGTGTGTGTCTGTGTACGTGTGTGTGTCTGTGTACGTGTGTGTGTGTGTATGTAACTGTGTGTGTGTACGTGTGTGTACCTGTGTGTCTGTGTGTATGTCTGTGTACGTGTGTGTGTCTGTGTGATACATGTGTTGCTATGTTGATTTTGAGTTAGAAAAACAATAAAACCATTATAAATTATACACTATAAATTCTTTACAAATCGACACCAACTAAATAAAAGCTGGAGGGTTTTTTGTTCTAATTTTGCAGATTGCTTCAAGATGGATTTATTGTTTCACTATTAGCTCAACTCTTTCTGTTCACCATAAACCAGTGTCTTTAGCCTTTAGCGACTGAAGCTCCTAAAGTCCATAAACTCTGCTCAGACAACTCGACCTCAATAAAAGGTCTCGGCTCATTATCCAGAAACGAAGGTACACACACATGAACTAAAGTGTTTTTATTATAACACATATGGACAAAAATATCCATAACGTGCAGAAAACACAATAAGCATAAAAACACACAATAAATATTCAATACTGTTTATGGATGAGTTTCCAACCTTTGTCTTTCTGCTCAAGGCGTTTTAATAAAACACAAAAATAAAACCCATTATTATTATGCACAAGATTGTCATTGGTAACAAAGGAAAAAGGATTCACAAGACGTTCACAAGAATCATGGTTTTCTTATTTTAAGCTAAAATTGAAAAAAAAAAAGAACCATTAAAATCGTTAATGGCAAAAGCAATCATCTTATCATACAACAATACATTCTATAAAGTCCAATTTCAATCCAACTTCCCTTCAGTGAGAGCCCTTTTTTCAGTAATACAATGTCTGTGTTCTGGCGCCATCTGGTGGACAGTCCGATCACGCACAACTCTCCACAGATTCAATTGTTATGAGAGATAAACACATTTCACCAGAACTCACAACAGAAACTTAAATTGACTGTACAAGTTTATGGCTCAAAATGGCTGCCGAGGTTTAAAAGTACATGATTGAAAATTTACTAAATGTTATCGCTCCCGGGCCTTAGCACTGACAAATAAATAGTTTAATAAAAGTCATCTTGATGGTCAATGTACCAAACTATTGCTCCTCACGACAGACCAGACTTTATAATAATCTTTACGGTAGAAGAGAGAGAAGCCTGGTTTCAATCCCAAAGAAGAATATTTGATACTGTTTGACTGCGTGTGCGGCTAGCTTATAACAAGGTGACTAGAATAGATTTAAAAACAATAACTCCCTTAATTTTAGGTAGAAACTCTGCGTTCAAGAGCTGTTTTTGGCCATAAAATACTGTTATTAGCATCGAGAAACAAAAGTTATTGTCTGTGGATTCTACAAACTGCTCCCTCACTGTTGGGTCTAATTATTGACTCTTAAAAACCACAGCAATAATGAGACAGGATGTGAAAACTGTAAGACGTTCATATGTTTCAGGGTTAAAAAGTTATGAGCGATGTTTTTGTCTAATTAGAAGAACCTTTTAAGCCTCAGGATGTAGTAAAGCCTCCTAAGAGAAAGCGAGCAAGCCCATGTCAACACAGTAATGACGATAATGGAGTATTTTAGCGTGAGATCATAATTCAGGTTCATGGTCTCAGCCAAAACCCTCGCTCGCCTCTTCTTTAAACACATGGCTCCTGGCGTTTTCCGTCTGCAAATCGTTCACGATCCTCGACACCAGTAACCTTTCCATCCCGTCGACAGATTCAAACCCTCCATCTTCTACTTTTATCTGCCCGCCCGCTGCCAGGAAGCCCTCCCCGTCCTCAAACGCAAAGCCAAAGTTACTCCCTTCTTCTGCGGCCGCGCTGTTGTTAGCCAGGCGTTGGCATCTCGCTTGGTGCCGTAGAAAACTGTCTTTCCAGATCACCTTCTTCCCACAGACGCTGCATTCGAACGGCCGCAGTCCCCCGTGGGTCTTCAGGTGCTTGGTCAGATGGTGCTTCATCTTAAAGGACTTGTTGCAGACCGGACAGCCGAACGGGCGCAGGTTCAGGTGCTGCATCTTGACGTGGCGATCGCGCATGCTTTTCAGGGCGTAGGCTTTTCCGCAGTGGCAGTAGTGGATCTTCCCAGTGAACGCAGCCCCGGGGAAGGGTATGGAAGATGAGGACGATGGCATGGGAGGAGAAGAAGGAGATAGGAAGGCGGACGAGGATGTAGGAGTTAAAGAAGGAGCTTGCCCGGCGCTGGTTGAAGGCCAGTTGGGGTCGGATCCCGTTAAATGAAAGTCGGGAGACGCCAACTGTCGCTGTGAGATCTGTCCGCTCTCCTTCTCGATCTCGTTAAAAGTATTGCGGCTGAAGTTGTTTTCTCCGTAATGTCCCATGTCTGCGGCGTCATCCTCGGCGTTTACGTGGCTTCTCCCCGTGTCGCCGTCCTGGCACCGAGACGTTTGTTGCGACCAAGTCTGAATCTGCCACTGGATTCGCCCCGGAGCGTTGGTCTGGTTCTGGCCCACAGAGGAGGCGGCGTCCGAGGAGCCGTCGCTGTCCAAATGTACCTTCACTATCGAGGCTCGGTTCATTGGTGAAGCAGCCGCCAAGTCTGAGAAGGAACAAAGATAAAATTGATTATGATAATAAAACTGAAAAATGTCCTTTCAGTGTCGCGCTCCTACAGACTGAATGTCTCACAGAAAACTACTGAACAATGACGTCAATGACCTGATTTCTTGTTTTTCTATGTTTTATACAACTGTGTGTGTTCACGTTTCATGTATTGTGTATTTCCTTCACTCCACACAAAGGTGCTAAAATACTGCTGTAGCCACGGCTGCCTTGAGGAAGACTGACTTGAGCGAGGCTGCCAATCTGTGCCATCAGCCACTCCGACCAACACCAACAACACACACACCAACAACACACACACCAGAATCATCACAAGCCTCAGTTTAGCACTTTACAGCCTCAACCGTCCCTCTACTGCGCCTTCTGGAAGTTTAGATATTTTACCTTTTTGAGCCACGCAGTGTTGAAAATAGTGATTCCTGAATGTTTGAGGAATTTATATTTTCTTCATTAAGAGATTTAAATGTGTTGCTCATGGTTTTTATAAAGTATAGTGATTTTGTCCATAATCAAGTTATTATTAGGCCCTCTTTGAAGTAAATTTACAAATTAAAAAGTTTGTTTCAACTCAGTCCTGAAGGGTCCATGTGGCTGCAGGTTTTCCTTCCAACAGTCTGAGTACTGTCTCAAACTTGAAGACATGAGGAATGGGTGGAGACTGCTGTGCTCCTGCTTGGTTGGACTGAAAACCTGCAGCCCCACAGCCCTTGGAGGATCGAGTTGAAGACCTGAGACTGAGGCGATGATCAGGCCACTCACCGCACTGCTCGACTTTCGACTCCTCTCCACCTCCGAAAGCCTCCGGTTCCTTTCTGTCATTATTACTCTTTCCGACTGGAGTGATGTCACACTCTTCACTCTCTCTGTTCTTCTGCTGAAGTCTCACTCTCTGCTTTCCCACGTCTTCGTTCAGTTGCACCCCGTGGTTTTTGCTGCTGTGTCCGAGCTCGTCCGGGACATTGGGAGTAGTTTTGACTTGACTCGAAACCCACGGCTCTTCACAGCTGGAGTAATCGCTGCTGTCGATGTAAACGGGTTTATCATCGAGCTGAGAGTCCGCCGTCTGTTGTCCCGCCGAAGACTTTGGACGTCCCCACCTCAGAAACTGCTGTGGTCGCCTCCATGTGGCCAGAGGAGGGAGTGCGTCGGGCTGTCTCTCCTTCTTCCTCCCCTCTCGCTCTGAGTACAAACAGTCTGTGCTGCTGGGAGACTGCTGGCGGGAGACGGCGCCCCCCGGAGGCACGTCTGAGGAAGGGCGGGACCTTTTCAGAATCTCGGTGCATCTGTCGACAATGTGCCACATCTGCAGAAAACTGGCCACCGTCACGTAGTTCACGATGTCGTCCTGGACTATGGTGAGCTGCCCCGTGTAGGCGGAGCTCAGGACGCTCTCGAAGGCCACGGGATCCATCACCGACGGCAACGAGACCGCCGTGACGTTCTTCAGCAAGACCTGTGCGAGACATGGACACATAGGATTACAGAACCTTTCTATAGTCCTTTAGTTAAAGCTGGGGTACTGAACTTTGAAACCACTGAAATAACAATGTATTCAAATCCATGTAACTAGTTCCCAGCTCTCAAAACTGTTTACTGTCACTTAAACAAGTCCCTTTATATTTGGACAAACAAAATAAATGTATGAAACCAAACATATGTTCACTCCAGCTGGAAGTGTTTTAGTGCGAGACTTTAGAAATGTGTTGTTATAGAAATCTTTTAGTAAAGCCATCTGAATTAAGAATAGAGTAAGATAATAACTAATTCTTCAGTCTGGATTCAAATACAGCACATATGGTCTGTTGGCAGCAGGTCAGCTGATGGGTGGGAGTTTCTACATGTGTCTGACCATATCTGTGTCTAAGAACCATGTGTCCAGGTTTCTACATGTGTCTGACCATATCTGTGTCTAAGAACCATGTGTCCAGGTTTCTACATGTGTCTGACCATATCTGTGTCTAAGAACCATGTGTCCAGGTTTCTACATGTGTCTGACCATATCTGTGTCTAAGAACCATGTGTCCAGGTTTCTACATGTGTCTGACCATATCTGTGTCTAAGAACCATGTGTCCAGGTTTCTACATGTGTCTGACCATATCTGTGTCTAAGAACCATGTGTCCAGGGTCACACCGACTCTTTCTCTACAGTATGTCTTTGTTTACTCTGGTCTATTTAATGTCCGTCATTTCCTCATTCGGGGAAGACGGTTTCAGACGGTTTCAGACGGTTTCAGACGGTTTCAGACGGTTTCAGACGGTTTCAGACAGTTTCAGACAGTTTCAGACAGTTTCAGACGGTTTCAGACGGTTTCAGACGGTTTCAGACGGTTTCAGACGGTTTCAGACGGTTTCAGACGGTTTCAGACGGTTTCAGACGGTTTCAGACGGTTTCAGACGGTTTCAGACGGTTTCAGGCGGTTTCAGGCGGTTTCAGGCGGTTTCAGACGGTTTCAGACGGTTTCAGACGGTTTCAGACGGTTTCAGACGGTTTCAGACGGTTTCAGACGGTTTCAGACGGTTTCAGACGGTTTCAGACGGTTTCAGACGGTTTCAGACGGTTTCAGACGGTTTCAGACGGTTTCAGACGGTTTCAGACGGTTTCAGACGGTTTCAGACGGTTTCAGACAGTTTCAGTATCAGTTCTGTTACTCATTATATACGTGCACATTTACTAATGAATAAACTCACACTCTGATTGTATTACAGATCTTGGTTGTTTACATTATTTTTGCTCTCAACCTTTGCAGAAATTACACAACAAAAGCTGATTTGTATAAGTGTGTAACAATTGTGTAGCGATAAAAACAAAACAAAAAAAACAATTCTGTAGTAACATTAATTTAACTATTTTTTTGTGTAAGTAAGTAAGTAAGTAAGTTATTATTTATATACCGCCTTTTCACTGCAGATCTGAGTCTCAAAGCGGTTTACAATTGTTAATTTTGGGCATTTGTCTCTCACTCCACACAGAGATGGGAGCGGGGCCAGTACAGGAGGCACATGCTAGAACTATTGGACATATTTTCAGTGGTAGGGGAAACCGGAGTACCCGGAGGAAACCTACGCAGACACGGGGAGAACATGCAAACTCCACTCAGAAAGGCCCTGGTCCGGCCGGGATTCGAACCCAGGACCTTCTTGCTGAGAGGCGAGAGTGCTATCCACTCAGCCACCGTGCCGCCGTGTGTGGTTCTTTTGAAGGACAAACTATGGCTCCGCACCGGAAACATATACAACAGTATTAAATGTAAAAAGTTCATTTTGTCTTCTTATGTTCTTTTAATAAGACAAAAAAGTAAAGAAAGTTAGTGCTGCTTAAGGACCTGGCATGTTTCGTGGGAGACTTCCTGAAACATGTCATTAAGCAGTGTTAGCTTACTTTACTTTTCTGTCGTATTAAAAGAACCTTCTAAGCCTTAATAAATAATCATACTAGTTCCTCGCTCTCTAAACATGTTTGTTCTGTCACTTGTAGTTTTCATATGTATTTTTAAACTTCAGCCACAGAAAAGTGAAAAAGTGAGGACTACTCTTGCTTAGCCAATCAGCTCTCAGCCCAAAGCACCAAACAGTGACAGGGCTCTTACTAGAACGCATAACATATTCTCCTTGTATTATTGATCACACAACAGATGTAGCTCTAAAACCTGAAACACATTCCTCTCTGGGGCGGGCGTGTCGTGTGTCTGACCTGGTCGTGAAAGTACGGTGAGGAGGCGGCGAGGACACAGCGGTGGGCCCGGTACACCTGTCCCTGGACGTGGATGGACAGGTCACACAGCTGCCCCTCCTCCCGCTGACGGTTCAGACTGTCCAGCACCGAGGCCCTGACGGCGGGGAAGGACACCTGCAGCGTCTGGGCCTCTCCAGAGACCACCTCCATCTTCACCTGCAGGAGAAGTGAGTCAGGAAGGATCAGCTGGGTTTTCATATTTTATGTTTTTTGAGTTGTTCTTTGCCGAAGCAGGATGGTCCAAGGACAGTGGTGCTGATCCAGGACTGATCCAGGACTGATCCAGGACTGATCCAGGACTGATCCAGGACTGATCCAGGTCTGATCCAGGTCTGATCCAGGTCTGATCCAGGTCTGATCCAGGTCTGATCCAGGTCTGATCCAGGTCTGATCCAGGACTGATCCAGGACTGATCCAGGACTGATCCAGGACTGATCCAGGACTGATCCAGGACTGATCCAGGTCTGATCCAGGTCTGATCCAGGTCTGATCCAGGTCTGATCCAGGTCTGATCCAGGTCTGATCCAGGACTGATCCAGGACTGATCCAGGTCTGATCCAGGTCTGATCCAGGTCTGATCCAGGTCTGATCCAGGTCTGATCCAGGTCTGATCCAGGACTGATCCAGGACTGATCCAGGACTGATCCAGGACTGATCCAGGACTGATCCAGGACTGATCCAGGTCTGATCCAGGACTGATCCAGGACTGATCCAGGACTGATCCAGGACTGATCCAGGACTGATCCAGGACTGATCCAGGTCTGATCCAGGTCTGATCCAGGACTGATCCAGGACTGATCCAGGACTGATCCAGGACTGATCCAGGACTGATCCAGGACTGATCCAGGACTGATCCAGGACTGATCCAGGACTGATCCAGGTCTGATCCAGGTCTGATCCAGGTCTGATCCAGGTCTGATCCAGGTCTGATCCAGGTCTGATCCAGGACTGATCCAGGACTGATCCAGGTCTGATCCAGGTCTGATCCAGGACTGATCCAGGTCTGATCCAGGTCTGATCCAGGTCTGATCCAGGACTGATCCAGGACTGACCCAGGACTGATCCAGGACTGATCCAGGACTGATCCAGGACTGATCCAGGACTGATCCAGGTCTGATCCAGGTCTGATCCAGGACTGATCCAGGACTGATCCAGGACTGATCCAGGACTGATCCAGGACTGATCCAGGACTGATCCAGGTCTGATCCAGGACTGATCCAGGACTGATCCAGGACTGATCCAGGACTGATCCAGGACTGATCCAGGACTGATCCAGGACTGATCCAGGTCTGATCCAGGTCTGATCAGGACTGATCCAGGTCTGATCCAGGACTGATCCAGGACTGATCCAGGTCTATTAACATTTATAAACATTGGTCTCTGCTCCTTATTGACCGATGGCTCTATGTATTTTTTATTTGTTGCACTTCCTGAAATTGAACTGGTTAATTCTCTGACCTGTGATGTCCAATCAACTTTGTACATTTCTCCAAGATAACCACTGTTGTGATTTAAGGCTACATGAAAGTTAAGTAATTGAATAAAAAGTTGTCAAAAGTATCAAGATTCAGACGAATAAACGCCTCATGGTAATCGAAATAAAGTATTGACATGACACAGACAGTAGTCATGTGAACACTGTACATTACTATAAAACCTTTTAGGATCAGAATGACCTATGGATGTGTTAGTGTGTGTTATTGGTGATACCATGAAGATACCATGAAGATACCATGAAGACACAGAATATACAGAAGATACCATGAAGATACCATGAAGACACAGAATATACAGAAGATACCATGAAGATACCATGAAGACACAGAATATACAGAAGATACCATGAAGATACCATGAAGACACAGAATATACAGAAGATACCATGAAGATACCATGAAGATACAGAATATACAGAAGATACCATGAAGATACCATGAAGATACAGACCAGTTTATCATTAAAATACTACAATCCCCTCCATGGTTCTCTGACTCCTTCATATGGATTAAACATAAAACAGTTTGACCTGTATCGTTCTAATAATAAGTATTTATCTTCTGGGTGAACAGATAAACTACTGCACACAAACAACAGTTGGAGCTAGGTTAGCTACATTCACTCACAGCTGTCATTAACATGTTAGCATTAGCTTTCTCACTTTACCTTTGTCAGTTCTCAGAGATATTTCCTCTTGTTCTGTGAGTTCTGTGAGTTCCTGGACATTTCCACGAACATAAAACACATCCTGACTCCGTCTCACGTCTCTGCTATGGCATGTTATGGCTGTGCTGGTGGGTGTGAGCCGAGGGGGAGCTAGCCGCTGCTAACATCCTGCTAACATCCTGCTGACGTGATGCTAACATCCTGCTAACGTGATGCTAACATCCTGCTAACGTGATGCTAACATCCTGCTGACGTGATGCTAACATCCTGCTGACGTGATGCTAACATCCTGCTAACGTGATGCTAACATCCTGCTGACGTGATGCTAACATCCTGCTGACGTGATGCTAACATCCTGCTGACGTGATATGCTAACATCCTGCTGACGTGATGCTAACATCCTGCTGACGTGACGTGATGCTAACATCCTGCTGACGTGATGCTAACATCCTGCTAACGTGATGCTAACGTGATGCTAACATCCTGCTAACGTGATGCTAACATCCTGCTAACGTGATGCTAACATCCTGCTAACGTGATGCTAACGTGATGCTAACATCCTGCTAACGTGATGCTAACGTGATGCTAACATCCTGCTAACATCCTGCTAACGTGATGCTAACATCCTGCTAACGTGATGCTAACATCCTGCTAACGTGATGCTAACATCCTGCTAACATCCTGCTAACATCCTGCTGACGTGATGCTAACATCCTGCTAACGTGATGCTAACATCCTGCTAACGTGATGCTAACATCCTGCTAACGTGATGCTAACATCCTGCTAACGTGATGCTAACGTGATGCTAACATCCTGCTAACGTGATGCTAACGTGATGCTAACATCCTGCTAACATCCTGCTAACGTGATGCTAACGTGATGCTAACATCCTGCTAACATCCTGCTAACATCCTGCTAACGTGATGCTAACATCCTGCTAACAGCGGATAGGCGGAGCTGCACGGAGCTGCACGGAGCTGCACGGAGCTGCACGGAGCTGCACGGAGCTGCCAGCATCAGCATCCTCCTCTGGAATAGTCAAATAAATGCTTTTCACATGAGAACACGACTATCGGTGTTATAATAAACTATTGTCACAGTGTAGATGGTGTAATGCGGTCTTTGTGGTATTGTGGGTATATTTGTTATATTATTATAGATCCCTGGTGAAGATGCTTAAATCCCTGCCCCCGCCTGTGTTAAAGGGACAGTGGATAAAAGCAGCTGATTTATGTTGAGGGTCATTGTGATGATTTGATAAAGACATGATGCGTGTGATGACAGATTTAAAGCAGTTTTGTTGAAACATAGCAGTGGCCAAAGCCAAAGGGGAGGTGTCTCTGTGCGTCCCCGCCGCATGTGCGTGTTTTACCGCAGTGTCTCTGCAGCAGCCGCGTGTGGCGCAGACACAAACCTGCTCCACAGAACATCCAGACACAACACGACCTTTTTATTTCTCTTTTCATCTTTGTGCCTTTTTATTGGTGCGGGGCTTTTTTTTTAAACTGCGATGCCACCTCAGAGGAGACATCTGCCCTCGGCGCCCGGGACCAGAAGATAAACCACTACATCTGTCACATTCACACCGGACTGCGCTCGGCACGGACTGGGCCTTCTCCTTTGGGTATTAGGGATAAGCATCAGTAGCCTGCTTCTGCAGCAGTAGCGTGTCAAACGTAGCCCATTGCCTCCATAATGCATGCACATTGATCTCATATGCATCTGCGTGCTGTAGATTAACAGTAGCTTGGCATGTGTCATATTACATCTGCTTTATTACCGTGAGTGTAAGCAGACCACGGCACCTCAGGAAGATAATCACATCTCAGGTTATCTGGGAAAATCACTGTGAGTAACCTGGACAGTATCACACACATTTAATTAATACTAAAAGCTTTGATCTGAGTCTTTCCATACAGCACAAGGCAATATCATCTGTATTTGTATTTGTATATTGTTGCTGCTTCGACCCAAAGACTCCATACAGTAACAAGTGTGTATGTGTAGTGCATGTTGAGCTTCTTCTTCCCTGGATCTGAATGTTTTAATATCAGCAACGTTTTTGTAAATATCAAAGCACAGAGTGTTAGAGAGGCCCAGTCCAGAGTCGGTTCAGAGGTGCTTGGATCCTGAAAGATGACTTACAGGGCAGTTTTTCACCTGCTCGTCCTGGCTCTGCTCTGCTCCCTCTTCGGTGAGTGATGACCTGTGTGATGTAAATATGTTTGTGTGTTCTATCGTGTTGTGAGCCTGTGAGAAACGTGTTATAAGACCGTGCAAAACCAGGTCAACAGTTGCATCTTGTCTGGAGCTTTCCATGGGATGTGAAGGAAAGTTAATCCTTGGATCGTTACATAAAAATCAAAACAGAGGTGATGTTGTGAAAAACAACTCTAAAAACTTCATTAGTTTTGTTTTTGTGTATTTTACAATAATCAAGTTTATTATTTATATTTGCATTCATACACAGTCTTATATACAAGTACAATGTATGTGTGTGTGTGTGTGTGTGTGTGTGTCTATGCGTGTGTATCTGCATGTGTGTGCATGTGTCTGCATGTGTGTGTGTCTGCATATACTGTATGTGTTTGTCTGGATGTGTGTGTGTCTGTGTGTGTGTGTGTCTGCATATACTGTATGTGTGTGTGTGTGTCTGTGTGTGTGTGTGTCTGCATTTCAGTGTGTTTGTGTATCTGCGTGTGTGGCTGCATGAGTGTGGATGTGTGTGTGTCTGTATGTCAGTGTGTTTGTGTATCTGCATGTGTGTGTGTGTGTCTGCATGTGTGTGTGTGTATCTGCATGTGTGTGTGTGTGTGTGTATCTGCATGTGTGTGTGTCTGTATGTCAGTGCGTGTGTGTGAGTATATATGTATATGTGTGTGTGTGTGTCTGCATGGGTGTGTGTTTGTATGTCAGTGTGTGTGCGTGTGTGTGAGTATATCTGTATATGTGTGTGTGTGTGGTTGGAGGCGCTCAGAGTGGCTTAGATTGTTTCTGTCGGACATAATAAAAAGCCTTATGAAGATTCAGTCTCAGCTCAGAATACTGCCTTGTGACTCGGAAATGGATAAAGCGGAAGAAAATGAATGGATTGTTTGACATCAGACTAAATACACTTGTTCCAACGGAGAATCCTGACAGGCCGTCTTTTATATGGACCTTAAGTTTGGAAACAAGATCTATTATTATTATTATTATTATTATTATTAATAAAAATGCCACTATGTTAATACCAAGTCACAAGTTAGAAAAGACTTAAAGTAGTTTTGACAAAGCTCATTTATTTCATTATTCATGGAAAGAAAAGCAGGTCCAATCCGTCTGTAAGTAGTAGTAAGTAAGTAATGTTTATTTATATACCGCCTTTCACAGACAAGGGTCCCAAAGCGGTTTACAATTGTTATTATTTTTTTGGGCACTTGTCTCTCACTCCACACAGAGATGGGAGCGGGGCCAGTACAGGAGGCGCATGCTAGAACTATTGGACATATTTTTAGTGGTAGGGGAAACCGGAGTACCCGGAGGAAACCTACGCAGACACGGGGAGAACATGCAAACTCCACTCAGAAAGGCCCTGGTCCGACCGGGATTCGAACCCAGGACCTTCTTGCTGAGAGGCGAGAGTGCTATCCACTCAGCCACCGTGCCGCCTGTGCAGGTGTGAACGTCCCTGATCTGTCTCTTTTTACCAATATTTGTACGTTTGACTGTTTTTAGTCCTTAGTTTTTGCGACACAGCTTCATACCGTGGTGTTCTGGCTCATGATAATCGTACCGTGGGAATCTCACAGTTGTGTTTTGGCGTCTCTCCTGCAGCGGACCAGTCGGAGGGAGCGTGTGCGGAGGTGGACTCGGACACGGAGGCGGTGGCTGGAAAAGGATTCAAACTCGGCTGCATCTCCTGCAAACGCCGCAGCGAAGTGAGAGGCTCCGCCACCGTGGAGTGGTACTTCAGACCCAAAGGAGAGGCCGACTTTGTCCACGTGAGTCTGGGCTGTTGGCGTGTTGTTGGCGTGTTGTTGGCGTGTTGTTGTTGTCATGTTCCAAAAGAAGAAGAAACCAAAATGCAATAAAGTAATGGTTTAATAATAATAATATAAAACAAAAGTCCAGGTGAAAAACATACTTCAACAGACAGTAGGAACAAAGACAATACATGGACCAGCAACAAAGGGAGAGGAGCACAGGTACATGTAGACACAGACACATATAGACACAGGTACATATAGACACAGGTACATATAGACACAGGTACATATAGACGCAGGTACACATAGACACAGGTACATATAGACACAGGTACATATAGACACAGGTACATATAGACACAGACACAGGTACATATAGACACAGGTACATATAGACACAGGTACATATAGACACAGGTACATATAGACACAGACACAGGTACATGTAGACACAGACACATATAGACACAGGTACATATAGACACAGGTACATATAGACACAGGTACATATAGACGCAGGTACACATAGACACAGGTACATATAGACACAGGTACATATAGACACAGGTACATATAGACACAGACACAGGTACATATAGACACAGACACATATACTATAGACACAGGTACATATAGACACAGACACATATAGACACAGGTACATATAGACACAGACACAGGTACATATAGACACAGGTACATATAGACACAGGTACATATAGACACAGACACAGGTACATATAGACACAGACACAGGTACATATAGACACAGGTACATATAGACACAGAGACACAGGTACATATAGACACAGACACATATAGACACAGGTACATATAGACACAGGTACATATAGACACAGGTACATATAGACACAGGTACATATAGACACAGACACAGGTACATATAGACACAGGTACATATAGACACAGACACAGGTACATATAGACACAGGTACATATAGACACAGAGACACAGGTACATATAGACACAGACACAGGTACATATAGACACAGACACATATAGACACAGGTACACATAGACACAGGTACATATAGACACAGGTACATATAGACACAGGTACATATAGACACAGGTACATATAGACACAGGTACATATAGACACAGGTACATATAGACACGGGTACATATAGACACAGGTACATATAGACACAGGTACATATAGACACAGACACATATAGACACAGACACATATAGACACAGGTACATATAGACACAGGTACATATAGACACAGGTACATATAGACGCAGGTACATATAGACGCAGGTACACATAGACACAGGTACACATAGACACAGGTACATATAGACACAGGTACATATAGACACAGGTACATATAGACACAGGTACATATAGACACAGGTACATATAGACACAGGTACATATAGACACGGGTACATATAGACACAGGTACATATAGACACAGGTACATATAGACACAGACACATATAGACACAGACACATATAGACACAGGTACATATAGACGCAGGTACACATAGACACAGGTACATATAGACACAGGTACATATAGACACAGGTACATATAGACACAGGTACATATAGACACAGACACAGGTACATATAGACACAGACACAGGTACATATAGACACAGACACATATAGACACAGACACATATAGACACAGGTACATATAGACGCAGGTACACATAGACACAGGTACATATAGACACAGGTACATATAGACACAGGTACATATAGACACAGGTACATATAGACACAGACACAGGTACATATAGACACAGACACAGGTACATATAGACACAGACACATATAGACACAGACACATATAGACACAGGTACATATAGACGCAGGTACACATAGACACAGGTACATATAGACACAGGTACATATAGACACAGGTACATATAGACACAGACACAGGTACATATAGACACAGACACAGGTACATATAGACACAGACACAGGTACATATAGACACAGACACATATACTGTAGACACAGGTTATACTAGCCAGCCCAATGCTGCTAGTGTGAGGCTGTAGACCCAGGCTTGTTGATGACGCGCTAAGCGGCTATGCTGTGGTTGCTCTGTTGTGCTCAATAAAATCCTCCAAGTCTTCAAAGGGTACGATGCAATAATCTTCATTTATTTAACAGTGCTATTAAAAGGATCCACAGTGGTATCACACGAGAAACATTGGAAAACAAACTCCGCTTGTGCGGTCAAAAACCAATTTGCCCTTCTGGGTCACACCTGCACTCAACCCTGCGCTCATGATTCATATAAAAGATGAATGCGCCCCCTCATGGACACAAAGACCAATTACGCAAAGAAAAACACATATTTGGCTCCTATACAGGTACATATAGACACAGACACAGGTACATATAGTAGTAAGTAAGTAATCTTTATTTATATATCGCCTTTCACAGACCAGAGTCACAAAGCGGTTTACAATTGTTATTTTTGGGCAATTGTCCTCTCATTCCGTACAGAGATGGGAGCGGGGTCGCCGAACAGGAGGCACATGCCAGACTTATTGTGCATGTTTTTAGTGGTAGGGGAAACCGGAGTACGCAGACACAGGGAGAACATGCAAACTCCACTCAGAAAGGCCCTGGTCCGGCTGGGATTCGAACCCAGGACCTTCTTGCTGAGAGGCAAGAGTGCTATCCACTCAGCCACCGTGCCGCCGTCTTAGACACAGAGACAGGTACATATAGACAGAGACACAGGTACATATAGACACAGGTACATATAGACACAGGTACATATAGACGCAGACACAGGTACATATAGACGCAGACACAGGTACATATAGACACAGAGACAGGTACATATAGACACAGGTACATATAGACACAGGTACATATAGACACAGAGACAGGTACATATAGACACAGGTACATATAGACACAGGTACATATAGACACAGAGACAGGTACATATAGACGCAGACACAGGTACATATAGACACAGACACAGGTACATATAGACACAGGTACATATAGACACAGGTACATATAGACACAGGTACATATAGACACAGAGACAGGTACATATAGACACAGGTACATATAGACACAGGTACATATAGACGCAGACACAGGTACATATAGACGCAGACACAGGTACATATAGACACAGACACAGGTACATATAGACACAGGTACATATAGACACAGGTACATATAGACGCAGACACAGGTACATATAGACGCAGACACAGGTACATATAGACACAGACACAGGTACATATAGACACAGACACAGGTACATATAGACACAGGTACATATAGACACAGGTACATATAGACACAGGTACATATAGACACAGAGACACAGGTACATATAGACACAGACACAGGTACATATAGACACAGGTACATATAGACACAGGTACATATAGACACAGACACAGGTACATATAGACACAGACACAGGTACATATAGACACAGACACAGGTACATATAGACGCAGACACAGGTACATATAGACGCAGACATAGGTACATATAGACACAGGTACATATAGACACAGGTACATATAGACACAGAGACAGGTACATATAGACGCAGACACAGGTACATATAGACACAGACACAGGTACATATAGACACAGGTACATATAGACACAGGTACATATAGACACAGGTACATATAGACACAGAGACAGGTACATATAGACACAGGTACATATAGACACAGGTACATATAGACGCAGACACAGGTACATATAGACGCAGACACAGGTACATATAGACACAGACACAGGTACATATAGACACAGGTACATATAGACACAGGTACACAGGTACATATAGACGCAGACACAGGTACATATAGACACAGAAACAGTACATATAGACACAGACACAGGTACATATAGACACAGGTACATATAGACACAGGTACATATAGACACAGGTACATATAGACACAGAGACACAGGTACATATAGACACAGACACAGGTACATATAGACACAGGTACATATAGACACAGGTACATATAGACACAGACACAGGTACATATAGACACAGACACAGGTACATATAGACACAGACACAGGTACATATAGACGCAGACACAGGTACATATAGACGCAGACATAGGTACATATAGACACAGGTACATATAGACGCAGACACAGGTACATTTAGACACACATCAGGGCGGGGCAGACAATCAACCACTGGGGGCGGGTCCCGGCCCCAGTATATATTTTGGACCAGTCTAGTCGAGTCGCTGTGGACTTTGGCAGTCACTTGTCTAATTAATTAAGCTAGTGCAGCTAACGCATATGCAAATACGTTTTTTTTTTCTTTCACATTTTCCAGCCCCTGCAGCCATTTTGAAACTGCCCATAGACGGCAAAAGTGATGTCACATTAGTTTGAACGGTGGCGAAAGGCGTGACTATGTCTGAAATATTTACAAGCAACACAGGGAACAAGGAAACCACAGAGAACAGATGTCAAAATAAAACCAAGGAACAAAATCCACACCATGACAGTTGTGTATCATTGTGTGCTATTGATGAGTTATGGATTACTGATGAGCTGTCAATCACAGTCTTGACCACGCCCCCTTCTTGTACCTTGGGCGGAGTCAGGCTAGGCACGGTTGTTTAGTTTTCCTTTAATATGTGCTTCCATGGGATACTTTTAGTTCTCATTAATGAACCCAAAATGTCACTAATATGAAGTAGCTTTTTGCTAAACTAACTATAAAATTGACGACATGAAAACGGCTTCAGTCCTCCATAGTTTAAATATCATACATCTGTTATATGTATCCTTGTGTTTATTTATTAGTTAAGCAAGTAAAGGACAGTGAATCTAATCAAGAATTAAACTGTCTGTGTGCTAGCCTCATCTGCGTGAGCCTTTGAACGCATCTGGGCGCTAGCTTCGTTTCTACTAAAAGTATTTTTTTCTCTGAGCTCTTTTTCCGCCATTTCTTGTAATAAACCTTGACACATATGTGCACAAATCAAGAATATAATCTGTATATAACAACACAAACTGTTTACATGTTTATTTACACTTTATGACATGCGCAAACTGAACTTCCGGACAAATCCGGCAGCCACAAGCTAGTATAAAATCTCTAGCTTTAGCAAAATAAAGAAGCTAGTATAAAATCTCTAACTTTAGCATAATAAAGAAGCTAGTATAAATCTCTAACTTTAGCATAATAAAGAAGCTAGTATTGACAGTGAAATTCCCAGAAGTGTCTGGAGAGTGTTTTTAATTCCGTGATAATTAGACACGTGTAAAGTTCTGCTCATAAATAACTGTTCTGTAGTGACGTGACGCTCTGGTGCCGCCGGCCACAACGATTAAATGTATTTTTATCCTGCTGTCTGTGTAGCCGCTCTGCTTCCCTCACTTCCTGTTTCGTCTCCCATGGCAACTGCCGTGCCCCGGTCACATGGTCGGGCAGAGGTCGAAGCTCCAGGATTTAAGTCGATAAAGATATTTTACACCAAACAAAATCAATGGCTCTGACCTTGGTCCGCAAACATGATTTAACCTGGACATGTAATAACACAGGATTTATATGTCCTCCATTTACAACAACAGACATGTGAATGTGAGGAGCACAGGGACTGGACTCCTGCTGGGACTCTGAGGAGCACAGGGACTGGACTCCTGCTGGGACTCTGAGGAGCACAGGGACTGGCCTCCTGCTGGGACTCTGAGGAGCACAGGGACTGGACTCCTGCTGGGACTCTGAGGAGCACAGGGACTGGCCTCCTGCTGGGACTCTGAGGAGCACAGGGACTGGCCTCCTGCTGGGACTCTGAGGAGCACAGGGACTGGACTCCTGCTGGGACTCTGAGGAGCACAGGGACTGGCCTCCTGCTGGGACTCTGAGGAGCACAGGGACTGGACTCCTGCTGGGACTCTGAGGAGCACAGGGACTGGCCTCCTGCTGGGATTCTGAGGAGCACAGGGACTGGCCTCCTGCTGGGACTCTGAGGAGCACAGGGACTGGCCTCCTGCTGGGACTCTGAGGAGCACAGGGACTGGACTCCTGCTGGGACTCTGAGGAGCACAGGGACTGGCCTCCTGCTGGGATTCTGAGGAGCACAGGGACTGGACTCCTGCTGGGACTCTGAAGAGCACAGGGACTGGACTCCTGCTGGGACTCTGAGGAGCACAGGGACTGGCCTCCTGCTGGGACTCTGAAGAGCACAGGGACTGGACTCCTGCTGGGACTCTGAGGAGCACAGGGACTGGCCTCCTGCTGGGACTCTGAGGAGCACAGGGACTGGCCTCCTGCTGGGACTCTGAGGAGCACAGGGACTGGACTCCTGCTGGGACTCTGAGGAGCACAGGGACTGGCCTCCTGCTGGGATTCTGAGGAGCACAGGGACTGGCCTCCTGCTGGGACTCTGAGGAGCACAGGGACTGGACTCCTGCTGGTCCCAGAGTCAGGACTAAACATGAGGAGGCAGCGTTTCAGGTTAAAGCTCAAATCTGTTTTTTTTTTCAGTCTTTCTGAAAATGTGAGACAGACTTCTTCTCAAGAATGTTATTGTTTTATTTATAGTTTGTGACCATTAAAAGATGTCATTATCATTTGAAGAATGATTTCGTCCGAGTCCCTCTGGTTTGGCGAATCCCTTTGAGTTGCCTTGTGTATGAATTGTGCTATACCAATAACCTTGCCTTCCCTGGTCAGCTGTAACCGTAGATTCTTAAAGACGTTGTTACTTCTATCTCCGCAGTTCAAACTAATGTGACATCACTTTCACCGTCTATGGCCGTTTCAAAATGGCCACGGGGATAATGTGAAAAACACATCAGTGCGTCAGCTGCATCTGCCCCATTCATTTAACGAGCGCATTCAAAAGACCACAGCGACTAAACTAGATGGGTCCAAAAACATATACTCCCCTCAGACAGCATCTGGAACCAAGAGGACCAAGAGCCACTTTCGGACCAAGAGCCACTTATGGACCATCCTGTAAAGCTGTTTTCGAGCGGTAAGCGTAAATTAGCATTGGCTAATTCTTATTCTAGGTCCACCCCCACAGGCCTGGGGTGGTAGTGCAGCATGTCAGAGCATGTCATTTAGAACATTTTTGAGCCAGGCCCTGCCCACACTGGACCCACCCACACTGGACCCGTCCACACTGGACCCGTCCACACTGGACCCGCCCACACTGGAGCCGGCCACTGGACCTGCCCCCACTGGACCCGCCCACACTGGATCCGCCCACACTGGATCCGCCCACACTGGATCCGCCCACACTGGACCCGCCCACACTGGACCCGCCCACACTGGAGCCGGCCACTGGACCCGCCCACACTGGACCCGCCCACACTGGATCCGCCCACACTGGATCCGCCCACACTGGACCCGCCCACACTGGACCCGCCCACACTGGAGCCGGCCACTGGACCCGCCCACACTGGACCCGCCCTCACTGGACCCGCCCACACTGGATCCGCCCACACTGGACCCGCCCACACTGGATCCGCCCACACTGGACCCGCCCACACTGGATCCGCCCACACTGGATCCGCCCACACTGGATCCGCCCACACTGGATCCGCCCACACTGGACCCGCCCACACTGGATCCGCCCACACTGGACCCGCCCACACTGGACCCGCCCACACTGGATCCGCCCACACTGGACCCGCCCACACTGGATCCGCCCACACTGGATCCGCCCACACTGGACCCGCCCACACTGGTTGTAACGTGTCTCACCCTCTCTCCACAGATCTATTCGTACACGGACGACGGCGGCACGGTGGAGCACGACCACTTCATGGACCGCGTGGACTGGAACGGCAGCAAACGCAGCATGGACATCCAGGACGCCTCCATCTACCTGCTCAACGTCACCTTCAACGACTCGGGGACGTACCGCTGCTTCTTGAACCGCATCCTCTCCTACGACAACGACTTCGAGTTCAACATCGTGATCAGCAAAGTGGTGCACCTCACTGTGGTCGCCAAAGGTACCACAGTGCTTACACATTTATTATAGCCACTGGGTCTGTTTTAAAATCTAAAACAAACATGAGTGTGAAATGTGGGAAATAGGAACGAGATGGAGTTTACTGTTTGAAAGTTGCTTTAAAGACACAAAGACATTTATACTAAATTAATAATATTATTGGCCACTAAAAAGGATCATGGGACGATTTACTTTGTCACTACATGTTTCTGTAACTAATATCCTGAATAAAAAATGTATGATGAGTAAAGTGACAGATGCTGTTCGCCGCTAAAACCCTGATGTTCTTTTTTCAAATGTGAAAGTTACCGACTGCAAACACAGCCATGTGAGTGCAAAGAACTAGGCACCAACACTTTGGGCCGATCCTGACGGTTAGCAAAGCAACTTAGCCGATGTTTTTTCTTTATTTGTCCTATTTAGTCCTTCGATGGGAGATTGTGTGTGTGTGTGTGTGCATGTGTGCGTGTGTGTGTGTGTGTGTGGGCGTATGTGTGTGTGTGCGTGTGTGTGTGCATGTGTGCGTGCGCGTGTGCGTATGTGTGTGTGTGCGTATGTTTGCGTGTGCGTGTGCGTGTGTGTGCGCGTGTGCGTGTGTGCATGTGTGTGCACGTGTGCGTGTGTGTGCGTGTGTGTTCGCGTGTGCGTGCGAGTGTGCGTATGTGTGTGTGTGCGTATGTTTGCGTGTTCGTGTGCGTGTGTGTGCGCGTGTGCGTGTGTGCATGTGTGTGCACGTGTGCGTGTGTGTGCGTGTGTGTTCGCGTGTGCGTGCGAGTGTGCGTGCGCGTGTGTGTGTGCGTATGTGTGTGTGTGTGTGTTCAGAATCAGTGGTTGTCTGAGGGACTGATGGCACAGTCTGGTTGCCTCTCTTCTGTCAGTGTGCCCCAGGGCGGCTGTGGCTTCAGCAGTAGTTTATCCCCATTGTGTTTGAGTGACATGAGCGTCTTTGAGCGTCCCTCAAAGCTCTGTATAAAACTGATGCAATAGTAACATCATTTTTATAATCAATAATAAAACTCCAGGAAACATGGTGTATTATGGTTAAAAACACGTCGCTCTCCTTTAAAGTCCAGAAAAGACCAATATTTGTCTGAACGTGTGTCCTGTGTGTTCAGCGACCAGAGGCACGGCGTCCATCGTGTCCGAGGTCATGATGTACGTGTCCATCATCGGGCTGCAGGTCTGGCTCCTCATCGAGATGATTTACTGCTACAGGAAGATCGCGGCGGCCGGAGAGGAGGCGCTACGGGAAGCAGCGTGAGTCAAACACCTCTTCACTCACAAACGTTACCGCACACGGAACGCCGGCGTTAAAGCTGCTCTACGCAACTTCTCTGATGGAGGGTCGGCCATTTTGTGAATGAGTTTTTCTGATTGTGCCACACTGTATTTCAGGATTTAGTTTTCTCAGATTCAGTTTATTTGCGGTCTGCAGTAAAACCACATTGGAATAGGTGTGCAAATGTCCCCAGATACTATATATTTATATATATATTATTATGAATATGATTGTTAAATCATTACTACTATCATTATTGTTATTGTTATTATTATTATTATTTATTAATTACATACATACGTTTTGGATGATAAATGATAGTTTTACAGCAAAGTTGTGAAGAAAATATGTTATAAAAAATATATCACCGAAAGTTACAATTTTCATAAGATTTAGGGACATTTTACGACTTTTTTTTTTCATTACTAACACAATAAAAAGACATATTTCAGTTATTTTCTAACAGCCTGGTCATGATGTCATCGTTACAGAATCTCATAACTTTATAGACGATGATATTTTTAAACTAAACAAAGGAAAAACTGGTCGTTTCTCACATTTAAAGGAAAATCTCCAATAAAAAAAAACACTTTAGATCGTTGGATCATAGTGACGTCACCAGGTCTCAGCTCAGAGTTTAGAGGTATTATTAAAAACACATGAAAGTAAAGTTTAATCCTGTTTATTTAATTCATTATGACGTCCGCAAGTGGCAGACCCCATCAGACCCTTTAACTGTGTGTATGACAGGACTCTGGACTTTATCGTCATCATGGGATCAAATCTGTTGGAAATGATTCAATTACTCTTCAGATGTTCATGTTACAAAGATAGTATTTTATTTACGGATATGTTCATAAGATCAGAGGGAGAGATGTACATAAGTGGAAACCTTTGCCTTTTCTTCATGCAGCAAAAAACATCCACATTTCATGAAAAATTCAAGAAAATATCAGAATTTTTTTTTTTTTACAACATACCACTTAATTTACCCAGTGAGGTCTTTTTACAATCAGGAAGCACCATTTGAAACTTTTAACAGGTAAAAAAACAATAATATACAGTGTTATCTGCTCCGACCTGTCATACACACTCCGAGCTCCGCACAGTTCAAGTTAAACACAGCCATGATAAAAGTAGATTCTGTATGAACTGTGCGACTGCTTTTTGAACCCTCTCCGGGGAATTTACCAATGACATATTTGTAAATGGATTGCATGGAAGTAACTCGACTCAGATGTGCAATAGCAGCGTGCAATATGGCAGTAGCAATATTGCACATTTTTGTTTTGAATGTGAATTTCTTCGGTAAAGAAATTCTGTATGCTAACCGTGATAGCATCGTCGCTCTAATGAGAGGTTAGATAGAAAGCTTCAGAGAGAATATTCAGACTTAGACCGGTTCTAGATCGTGCAGATTCTTTAGTTCCCATTTGATCAGAAAGAATCAAAAACATGAGTGATGTTGGTGAATCCTGTGCACGTGAGACCTGTCTGTGCACGTGTACATGTGATTTTGTTTTGGCATTTTCGGTTCAGATGTGGGACGTGATCACATTCCACATGAACTCACACTGATAGTAAAACATGTAGAAAGGCGAAATGGTGAAATGTTCAGGGACTACAGCTAATATCCATAGACTGTATTTGTATATGGACAATGCTAACGGCCTAGCGCACGGGTGTCAAAGTCACCCTGACCCTGACCCTGACCCTGACCCTGACCCTGACCCTGACTCTGACTCTGACCCTGACTCTGACTCTGACCCTGACTCTGACTCTGACTCTGACTCTGACCCTGACTCTGACTCTGACTCTGACTCTGACACTGACTCTGACACTGACTCTGACCCTGACGCTGACTCTGACCCTGACTCTGACTCTGACTCTGACTCTGACTCTGACTCTGACTCTGACTCTGACACTGACTCTGACTCTGACTCTGACCCTGACTCTGACTCTGACACTGACTCTGACACTGACTCTGACTCTGACTCTGACTCTGACTCTGACTCTGACCCTGACTCTGACTCTGACTCTGACTCTGACTCTGACACTGACTCTGACGCTGACTCTGACCCTGACTCTGACTCTGACCCTGACCCTGACTCTGACTCTGACTCTGACTCTGACTCTGACTCTGACACTGACCCTGACTCTGACTCTGACTCTGACTCTGACTCTGACTCTGACCCTGACCCTGACCCTGACCCTGACCCTGACCCTGACCCTGACCCTGACTCTGACTCTGACTCTGACTCTGACCCTGACTCTGACTCTGACCCTGACCCTGACTCTGACACTGACTCTGACTCTGACACTGACCCTGACTCTGACTCTGACTCTGACCCTGACACTGACTCTGACCCTGACCGGCCACACAGAGACATCTGAAAATACAGATTATATTTGACTGAAAACGACAATGATATTGACCTAGTCTTGTGTTCTAAACCAAAAGTAGTTTTCAAATGAAACAGTTGAAACAATATGTTCCTTATTTGTGTTTTTTTTGTTTTATTTTTTTATTATTTTATGGAAATGAAGTTAGTATATATATAGTTATATAGTGTATCGTAGGGGTGGGATTTAATAACTTTTCTTCTTCCCACTTCGAGCCAGACGTTTTCTAATTCCTGTACTTATGTACAGCTGTTTGTTTGTTATTATTTTTTAATGTGATCTGCTTGAAATGAATCAATAAATAATACTATATAATATATGATTTAATCATTAGCTAAAGATAGATCGATAGATAGATTTTTATGCATAATTTTAATGTTTTAATAAACATTGAACCAGTCCGGCCCTCGGGTTGTTGCACATTTGTTTTTTTGGCCTCTGATGTTTTTGACATTGACATCCCTGCTTTATATTGCTCAATATCAAAGTGGGGCGACAGTAGCTCAGTTGGTAGAGCATTGGCCTTGAGCCCAGAAGGTCGTGGGTTCAATTCCCACCTCTGCACCTTCTCCACCGACTCCCACTGATGACTGCTGTCGTTGTGTCCTTGGGCAAGACACTTAACCCCACTTTGCCCAAAGCCCCCACTGAAAGATCAAGGCTATGCTCACACTCAGAGAGCAGCCGTCCTCCTGTGGACTCACCACCTGCAGAGGGTCAGTGAGGGGCTGGTGCTATGAGACTTGGGTGACATCTCTGACTGCCACCCCCCTGACCCAGAAATGGATTAAAGGGTAGAAAATGGATGGATGGATGGAATATCAAAGTGCTCCAACTGGCTCTGGCTCTTTGGACTCTCTGTGATCCTGGTTTTTATATTTTGATATTGAGCCATGCAAGGATTGACCAATCAGATGCCTTCTTCCGAGTAAAGCCTTAGCAACCATCTGCCCCTGTTACAGCCAGTGTGGGCGGGTCCCGGCTCAAAAGTGTCCAAAATGACGTGCGCTGACATGCTGCAGTACCACCCCGGGCCTGTGGGGGTGGACCCTGACATGCTGCAGTACCACCCCGGGCCTGTGGGGGTGGACCCGGAATAAGAATTAGCCAATGCTAACATATAGCATTAGCAGACCTCTCGAAAACATCTTTACAGGATGGTCCAAAAGTTGGCTCTTGGCCCAAAGCTCCGTTCCACATGTGTGTCAATGTCCGTTACTATTTACAGTCTATGGTTACAGCACAAACAGCAGCTCTAGCTAACTCCAGCTCTAGCTAACTCCAGCTCTAGCTAACTCCAGCTCTAGCTAGCTAATGGTCAAACTGTTTTTGGTAATAATTCTTTCCTTTCACACTATTTCATCTATTTCAATATTTTTTAAAGTTAGGACATATTTTAAAATAGTTTTCTAGATTATTACTGTTATTCTTTCACACTGATCGTGAGTATTTCAGACACTTCCAGACGACACAGAACCATGAACGGCAGAATGTCCCACATCTGAACTCAGACATCACTCACGCTTCACTCTCTGACTTTACTTTCTTTGGATCAAACCGTTCTTTTTTGTGTGTTTTGTTGTAATTGTGTCCATTGTGTCGTGTTGTCTCTGTCCTGTCTCTGTCTCGCTCTCAGTAAAAACCAAACCCAAAACCTCCCTCCTGTAAGTCACCAAAGATCAAACCATTTCAAGACCATAACGTTCTCTTGTGTCTGGTTCTGTGGCTGTTCCAACGCTCCGGGTGTGACTGGGTTTCTCTTTTGTTGCAGAAATGCTGAATATTTAGCGATAGCGTCGGAAAGTAAAGACAATATGGCAGGAGTGCAGGTCGGAGAATAACACAGGTGAGTCCTCTCTGTTCCTCCTTTTGGAATCTTTTTAATGGTTTATTTCAACACTTTTCTCACTCCTCACAGACACAGTTTAATGCACACACAGAAAGTACTTTTACTTTATACTTGAGTAGTCCCTGATGGTACGAGTGTCTATAGCCTCATTCCCACTGAGAAAAAACGCACTGGGCTGTGTCAACATGACAGTCCTAGGAACAGTCCTAGAACTGGTCCTAGGACCGGTCCTAGGCTGCGGTCACATGCACGGCCTAAACCCCGGTTAAAGGGCCCTGGGGACTGTGGTCGAGGGGCGCTGGGGACTGTGGTCAAGGGGCGCAGGGGAGTGTGTTGCTCCAGGGCCAAAGGAAACCATTTCCTACGGGATGAACTCTGTTCTGACCCTCACACTCATAGTCTATTAGCGCCACCAGCTGGACCGAGCGTTGTACTACAGCACAGTTGCTCTGGCACGGTTGCAAAAACAGGCCTTCGTGATTGCGGGCCGTCTTCACTGTGGCGTCGATCTGGGCAAGTTCGTTTGTAAAAGCCAAGACTGGTCCTGGACTGATTTGTTGGAACCAACAGGACAACATCGTCCGCAAAAAGCAGGGATGAAATCCTGTGGTCCCCGAACCGGACCCCCTCAGGCCACTGGCTGCGCCTCGAAATTCTGTCCATAAAGACAGTGAACAGAACCGGTGACAAAGGGCAGCTCTGGCTACGGTCATACAGGGACCGGACGGCCCTCAGCAGAGGACCCCGGACCCCGTACTCCCGGAGAACCCCCCAAAGGACACCCCAGGGAACACGGTCGAACGCCTTCTACAAATCCACAAAGCACATGTGGACTGAGGCAAACTCCCATGAACCGTTGAGTATCCGGGACCAAAACCACACTGCTCCTCCTGGATCCGAGATTTGACCATCGGCCGTAGCCTCCTCTCCAGTACCTTGGAGTAGACCTTACCAGGGAGGCTGAGGAGTGTGATCCCACGATAATTGGAACACACCCTCCGATCCCCCTTCTTGTAGAGAGGGACCACCACCCCGGTCTGCCACTCCATTGGCACCGCCCCCGATCGCCACGCGATGTTGCAGAGACGTGGATCTCATCCACACCCGGAGCCTTGCCACCATGGAGGCTGCCAACCACCTTGGTGACCTCAGCCAGGGAGATGGATGTATCCGCCCCAACATCCTCAGCCTCTGCCTCTGTAACAGAGGACGTGACGGGGGGATTGAGGAGAACCTCAAAGTATTCCTTCCACCGTCCGACAATATCCCCAGTCGAGGTCAGCAGCTCTCCACCCGCACCGTACATGGTGTTGGCAAAGAACTGCTTCCCCCTCCTGAGGCGCCAAACAGTTTGCCAGAATCTCTTTGAGGCCGACCGATAGTCATGCTCCATGGACTCTCCGAACTCCTCCCAGTGCCGGGTTTTTGCCTCTGCAACAGCCCGGGCCTGCTGATACTGGACAGCTGCCTCAGGAGGCCCCCGAACCACCATGGCTCGATAGGACTCCTTCTACAGTCTGACAGCATCCCTTACTGCCGGTGTCCACCACCGGGTTCGGGGGTTGCCGCCGGGACCAGCATCAGAGACAGTGACGAGCCGCCGCATCGGCGATAGAGGAAGAGAACATGGTCCACTCAGACTCGATGTCCCCCTCCTCTGCCGGGACCTGGGAGAAACTCTCCCGGAGGTGTGAGTTGAAAGTCCGTCTGACAGGGGGCTCAGCGAGACGTTCCCAGCAGACCCTCACTACACGCTTGGGTCTGCCAGGTCTGACCGGCTTCTTCCTCTGCCAGCGGATCTAACTCACGACCAGGTGATGATCGGTTGGCAGCTCCGCCCCTCTCTTTAGCTCCGCCCCTCTCTTTAGCTCCGCCCCTCTCTTCACCCGAGACACGCGGCCGAAGGTCAGATCATACGACAACAAAGCGGATCGTCGACCTCCGACCTCAGGTCCTGGTGCCACGTGCACTGGTGCCCAAGATAAATTAAAGATTAAAAAATAGTAATTATAGCAAAAACCTAAAACTTTTTGTGGATTTTTTTCTGAATGCCATGAATTTGAGTAGGAGAAATATTGTTCTAATTTAATCTGGTTTTCTGATGGTTATTGGAAAATCAAGCTCGTAACAATTCAGGATTAGAATAAATCCTGTAAATGTTTTATTTGTAAATGTTTTAATAAATTATTTATATTTTGTCAATCTACAGAAACATAATGTGTATTCTCTCTTTTCTAATAAACTCATAAATAAATACATTTTTATCTTCCCTCAGGCTTCTTCCATGGACCAACCCCCTCCTCCTCTTCTTCAATGGACCAGCCCCCTCCTCCTCCTCCTCTTCTTCCATGGACCAGCCCCCTCCTCCTCTTCTTCCATGGACCAGCCCCCTCCTCCTCCTCTTCTTCTTCCATGGACCAGCCCCCTCCTCCTCCTCCTCTTCTTCCATGGACCAGCCCCCTCCTCCTCCTCTCTTCTTCCATGGACCAGCCCCCTCCTCCTCTTCTTCCATGGACCAGCCCCCTCCTCCTCCTCCTCTTCTTCCATGGACCAGCCCCCCCTCCTCCTCCTCTTCTTCCATGGACCAACCCCCTCCTCCTCCTCCTCTTCTTCCATGGACCAACCCCCCCCCTCCTTTCCATGGACCACCCCTCTCCTCTTCTTCCATGGACCAGCCCCCTCCTCCTCCTCTCTTCTTCCATGGACCAGCCCCCTCCTCCTCTTCTTCCATGGACCAGCCCCCTCCTCCTCCTCCTCGACCACCCCCCCCTCCTCCTCCTCTTCTTCCATGGACCAACCCCCTCCTCCTCCTCCTCTTCTTCCATGGACCAGCCCCCTCCTCCTCCTCCTCTTCTTCGACAACCGACCCCCTCCTCCTCCTCTTCTTCCATGGACCGACCCCCTCCTCCTCCTCTTCTTCTTCCATGGACCAACCCCCCCCTCCTCTTCTTCGACCAACCCCCCCCCTCCTCCTCCTCCTCCTCCTCTTCTTCCATGGACCAGCCCCCTCCTCCTCCTCTTCTTCAAGGACCAACCCCCTCCTCCTCTTCTTCTTCCAGGCTGCATGACCTGTGGGTGGGCTCCTCTCCCCTCCTTCAGCCTGTGGTCCTCCATCGTCCAGCACAAATCCAAAACCACACTCAGACCAAGCATGAACCAGCAGCACTGTAAATAACCCACGTTGGCGTCTGGCATGACCGCACTTTTGCTCCACAAACCCACGATGATGCATTATTGAGCCACATTGTCGATAGCATCCGTTTTAGACATGCAAGTGTTTCAGCTTTGGGACTTTGTTGATTGTAAAAGACAAAAGCTTTTTATGAAATCGTCACTTACGTAATTAAATATGTCACAAATGTATATGGTCATGGTATTTAGGCATCTTAATGGACTATGATAGGCATCTCTCCGGGTTTACGCTAACTCCATGGAATCTTAAAGTGTACTAATAAAACATTTAAAAACTTGGAAATGACGTCTTTCTGTGTCATGTACGAATCATTGGAGTGTCCTGAGTTTGTGAGGTACTGCCATAGACTGTATATAAATGCTAACAATGCTAACGTGAAGCTAACGCCATGGGAACATATGCCCATATAAGGATATTGGCTCCAGCTAGCTCATTCCGCGTTAAGCTAACTCCACAGTGACATGAGCACTCAGTCAGTCCACTCCGAATACAATCAATGGTTACAACGTTTATAATTTACACATTCACTTTATAACCTTTGAACACGCAAGAAATGAATAATCTGAATCATTTCTTAAGTAATCTTTATTTCACAGACCAGAGTTATGAAGGGCCTTTGATGGGAACGAGGTCAGGAGGCACATGCCAGTAGGGGGAACTGGAGCACCTGGAGGAAACCGGAGCACCAGGAGGAAACCGGAGCACCAAGAGAAAACTGGAGCACCTGGAGGAAACTGGAGCACCTGGAGGAAACCGGAGCACCTGGAGGAAACCGGAGCACCAGGAGGAAACCGGAGCACCAAGAGAAAACTGGAGCACCTGGAGGAAACTGGAGCACCTGGAGGAAACCGGAGCACCAGGAGGAAACCGGAGCACCAGGAGGAAACCGGAGCACCAGGAGGAAACCGGAGCACCTGGAGGAAACCAGAGCCCCTGGAGGAAACTGGAGCACCTGGAGGAAACCGGAGTACCTGGAGGAAGGGGGGAGGGGGGGTGGTAGTGAGAGGGGGGGTGGTAGTGGGAAGGGGGGTGGTAGTGGGAGGGGGGGTGGTAGTGGGGAGGGGAGGTGGTAGTGGGAGGGGAGGTGGGTAGTGGGAGGGGGGGTGGTAGTGGGAGGGGAGGTGGTAGTGGGAGGGGGGGTGGTAGTGGGAGGGGAGGTGGTAGTGGGAGGGGGGGTGGTAGTGGGAGGGGAGGGGGTGGTAGTGGGAGGGGGGGGTGGTAGTGGGAGGGGGGGGTTAGTGGGAGGGGGGGTGGTAGTGGGAGGGGAGGTGGTAGTGGGAGGGGAGGTGGTAGTGGGAGGGGGTGGTAGTGGGAGGGGAGGTGGTAGCGGGGGGGTGTAGGGGGGGAGGGTGGTAGTGGGAGGGGAGGGGGGTGGTAGTGAGAGGGGGGGGTGGTAGTGGGAGGGGGGGTGGTAGTGGGAGGGGGGTGGTAGTGGGAGGGGGGTTGGTAGTGGGAGGGGGGGTGGGGGAGGAGGGTGGGAGTGGGAGGGGAGGTGGTAGTGGGGAGGGGGGTGGGGGGGGGGGGGGTGGGGGGGTGGTAGTGGGAGGGGGGGGGGGTGGGTGGGGGTGGTAGTGAGTGGGGTGGGGGGTGGTGAGGGGGGGTGGGGTGGGGAGGGGGGGGTGGGGGGGGTATGGGTGGGGGGGGGGGGTAGTGGGAGGGGGGTGGTGGTAGTGGGGATGGGGGTGGGGGGGGGTAGTGGGAGTGGGGGGGGGGGGTAGTGGGGGGAGGGGGGTGGTATAGTGGGGGGGGGGGTGGGTTGGGTGGGGGTGGTTTGGGGATGGGGGGGGGTTGTGGAGGGGGGGGTGTAATTATATAAGCGGGTGGTAGTGGGGGGGGGGGTGGTAGTGGGTGGGGGGGGGGGGGTGGGTAGTGGGGGGGGGGGTGGTAGGGGGAGGGGGGGGTAGGTGGGGGGGGGGGGGTTGTGGGTGGGGGGGGGGTTGTAGTGGGAGGGGGGTGGTAGTGGGGGGGGGGGGGGTGGGTGGTGGGGGGAGGGGGGGTGGGGGGGGGGGTGGGTGTAGGTGGGTAGTGGGTCTGGGGTGGGGGGGTGGGGGGGGGGGGGGGGGGGGGGTGTGGGGGGGGGGGGGGAGGGGAGGGGGAAGGGGGGTGGTGGTGGGTGGGGGGGTGGGAGTGTAGGGGGTGGGGGGTGGGGTGGGGGTGGGGGGGGGGTAGGGGGGTGGGGGTGGGGTAGGGGGGGTGGGGGGGTGGGGGGGGGGTGGGAGTGAGGGGTGGTTGGGGTAGTGAGGGAGGGGGGGGTGGGGGGGTGGGGTAGTGGGGGGGGGGGGGGGGGAGGGGGGGGGTGGGGTGGGGGGGGGGGGGGTGGGGGTGGGTGGGGGTTGGGGGGGGGGGTAGGGGTGGGGTGGGGGGTGGTAGGGGGGGGGTGGGGGGGGGTGGGGGGGGGGGGGTTGGGGGAGGGTGGGTGGGGGGGGGGGGGGGGGGTGGGGGGGGGGGGGGGGGTTGGGGGGTAGTGGGGGTGGGGGTGGGGGTGGGGGGGAGTGGGGGTGGGTGGGGGGGGGGGTGGGGGGTGGGGTAGGGGGTGGGGGGAGGGGGGTGGGGGGGGTGGTGGAGGGGGGGGGTGGGGGGGGGGGGGGGGGGTGGGTATGGGGGGCGGGGGTGGGGGGGGGGGGGGTGGGGGGGGGGGGTGGTAGTGGGGCTGGGGGTGGGGGGGGGGGGAGGGGAGGGGGGTGGGAGGGGAGGGGGGTGGGGGTTGGGGGGGGGGTGGTAGTGAGAGGGGTGGGGGGGTGGTAGGGGGGGGTAGTGGGGGGTGGGAGGGGGGTGGTAGTGGGGGGGGGTAAGTGGGTGGGGGGTGGTTTGGGGGGGGGTGGGGGTGGGGGTGGTGGGTGGGGGGTGGGGTAGGGGTGGGGTGGGTGTGGGATGGGGGGGGGGTGGTAGAGGAGGGGGGGGTGGGGGGGGGGGGGTGGTGGGGGGGGGGTGGTGGTGGGGGGGGGGGGGGTGGGGGGGGGTGGGGGTGGGGGGTGGGGGGGGGTGGTGGTGTGGGGGGGGGGGGTGGGGTGGGTGGGGGGGGGTGGGGGTGGGGTGGGGTGTGGGGGGGGTGGGGGGGGGTGGTGTGGGGGGGGGGGTGGGGGGGGTGGTGGTGGGGGGGGGGGGGGGGTGGTGGGGGGGGGGGGGGGTGGGGGGGGGGGGGTGGGGGTGGGGGGGGGGGGGGTGGGGGGGGGTGGGGTGGGAGGGGTGAGGTAGGTAAGTGAGGGGAGGTGGTAGTGGGAGGGGGCGTTGGTAGTGAGTGGGACGGTGGATAGATGGGGAGGGTGTGGTCGGTAGTGGTGAGGGGGGGTGAGGGGGGGTGGATAGTGGGAGTGGGGGTGAAGGTTAGTGGGAGGGGTTCGGTGGTGGGATGAGGTGAGTTGGTAGTAGTGGGAGGGGGGGTGGAAGTGAGAGGGAATGGGGTCGGTGGTAGTGGGAGGGGGGTCGGTAGTGGGAGGGGGTGTTGGTGGGTTACGGTACCCGTGGGTGAGGGGGGTTGAGGTATAGTGAGTGGGAGTGGAGGTAGTGGGAGGGGGGTCGGGTGGGTAGTGGCGCTCCCTCTCCCTAGTGGCACACCGGAGAGCCGCGGTGGGCTCTTTCCTCCGTCCGGCTTCCGTGCGTTTGTGCCCCTCTTCGGGCTTCTGCCATGTATCGGTCGCTCTGTGCCTAAGCGGCGCTTCCTTGCGGGGTCCGCCAGTTGCAACATGTTCATCTGGGGGCCTCGCTCCGGGGTCAGGATAGCTACGTTCTGTCCCTCGTTACTACGTCCCCCTACTTAGCAGGTGTCGCTGCGCTCGTCGCTGGGTCCCCTTTGTCGTGACATTTGCTCTTCAGCTAGTGTGCCGTCACCCCTGGACGAGGTGGCCGCCCCGCCTCCGCGTATCTGGTCCTCATGGCCCCGTCTTGGCCGGGGCTTTGCCCGGGATTCGTCTTGTTTTACGCTTGCTGGGTTCCGCCGAGTCAGCTCCTGGGGTGCCCTGTCCCCTTCTTGCCGTACCTGTCTGTCTATTGTTCCCCCTTCGTCACGGGAACTGGCGCGTACTAGCTACACTTTTGCTTTTCCGCTGGTTTTGCCTCCCCCGTCCGGCTTCCCTCCTTGCCCCTCTTCCTGGTCCACGTCCGGTTAAGTTTCCCGCGCTGCGTGCGCTCGGGACTTGCTGTTTCCTTTCGCCTACTCGTTGCTCCGATGGCTCTCGTTCTGTCGGTCGAGTGCCGCCTCTAATAGTCCCTTTCTCCCCCCCTGTCTGCTGCCGGCGTCCTGCAAGGGCCCTATGCCGTGTGTGCGTCCCCCTCCGCTCACCGCTTTGCCTTATCTCCCTCTTACTTCGTTATTGCGAGTGGCCCTGTCACTTTTTCTGCGCGCGCTGCTTGTCGCTGTGTTCAACTTTCCTCCCGGTGGTGTCTCCCGCCACGTCACGCTGTCATGTCCCCACGCCGCGCCTTTTTCTTCGTGCTTCTTCTCCCCGCGATTTGCTCCCGGTCCCCGGCTGGTTGCTTTTTTTGTTGTCTTTGCCCGCTGGCGCGGTTCTGGCTAAATCCTCTCTGCCCGCCGTGCCTTGTGGGTCTCTTCTCGTCACGTGCTCTTCCTCGACCTCCCCCTCGCGTCCCCTCCTTTGGGCGCGGTCGCCTCGTTGCGCCGCACCGGCTCGTCTCTGCCTGCGTCCCCGCGTGGGTGTCCCGGTCTCCTGGTGCGTGCATGCGGGCCTCCCACCGGCAGTCTCTGCTGCGCTTTCTGCGCTTGGCGCCGCCGCCATGCCTCTGTTCTCCCGGGGGTTGCAAATGGTGGGAACCCGTACTTAGCCTGTTTCAGTTGCTCCGTTCATCGGGAGCTGATTGGTGAGGCGGACGCGTCGTCCTTATATCTCCCGGTGCCAGTTTCGTCCGCCCCGTGGAGTCCTCTCGCGTAGCATGCCGTCGTGGTCCCAGCTGTCCCCTGTGCGGCTCCGCTGATCCCTGGCGGCGTCTTTTCGCCCCGTCTCCTTTCTTCTCCTCTCGCGGGCATCTGTCCCCCGGTTATGCCTGTTTCTGCTCCCGGGGGTGGTTATTATCCGTGTTTTAGTCCCCGGGCCGCTTCGGGGTTCGGGAGCATAGCTATCCCTTACTTGTTTCTGTTCTTTCGTTTGTGGTCTGTGCCGCCCAGTGTTTTATTTTCCCGCGGCCTACGTTGTTTTAATGCTTGCCGTAGTCACGTTAGAGCGGGGTGGGGTTTCTCACGCGCGTTGCTGGGTCGGTCGTCCGCGGCCGGTTCCTCCTCTTGATCATTGTCGTTGCCCCTTGGGTGGCTCTTGCTGGGCTCCCGAGCTTCCCCGGCTTGGGGCTAGTTTGAGTTCTATCTTTGCTCGGGCGGGGGACCCATGGTTTCACCCGTCCGGCCGCTCGCTCATGCCGTGTTCCAGTTGCGTGGTGGCGGCCGTCGTGTGTAGCGCGGGGCATCTCGTCCACCCCCTCGGATGTAATTGGGCTCTGCCCGCTGCCTTCGATCTCTTCTCCCTTCGTTTCTTTATGTCGGCCTCCCTCCCCACGGGTGCTGAACGTCTGTTATCCTTCTGCCCTTCTGCTGGGTCGCCTGTTATGGGTGTCCGCTCGTCCACTTCCCTGCTAACGTACTCCGTTTTCTCGCGGATGCTGGCTGTCCCCGTTATCGCCGTTTTTCGGTCGAGCCCAATACGTGGCTTCGTTTGTTTCCTCCCGATCGTTATTGGCGGAGTACCCTCATGATGTCCCCGTTATGGCGCCCCTCCGCGTGCCCTCGCTCGTCCTTTTTCGCTTCTTCCTCTGGGGTGGCTGCCCGGTGCGGCCGACTAGGTAATCCTGCCTCCATAGATAAGTATCAACACATCTTGGTTCCCTTTATGGCACGTTGCGGCTATTAAACTACAGTCCACTCCCCCCACCCAGCCCCCCCCCCCCCCACCCCCCCAACCTAGGGGCCCTTGTCGAATCAGATGTTGCCCATTCCGCGGCGGTTCGTTGCTCGTTCCTTCTCGGCCTGGCACGTCTCGGACATTTGTCGCTTTCGCCTCCTCCGAGTCTCGGCGGCCGTGGCTGCTCTGGTCGGAGCCTCGTACGTTAACCCCCTGGGCTTGTGTTATATAGTTGCGGTGTGTTCGTTTGCGCTATTCCCGATAACATAATGAACAATTCGTAGAATAACAAAAAAACAATAGTAATGTAACCAGGGAAGCTAGCGGTGTCGTTGTCAATCTACTATAGACGTCGTGGATTTGGTTTATATCCCAACAACACAACAAAAAAAATACCTAAGCAAAATACAGAGAGCCACAAAACAACCGAACCTCAAACTAACTAACAACTATACTAGCAACGGGGTGACAACGAACAAAAACATACCAATAGTATTCGCATCAACTCAGAGCCACCTGATCAGCTCACAAAACAACTCATCAATCATGTCTCAACACGAACCACACTCCCTAACACCACACAGCACGCGAAGACCTAGTTACAGACGAATAAAAAACACTAACACACGAGGAAATAATATACTAATAATGAACAAAAACCCACTAAATTCTGACCTACAGAATGACATAGGTAGCTCGTTTTCATCAGCACACCCTTGTCGACTTCATAGATAATCACCATTACCCCAATAACCAAAACCACTCAGGACAACCACTCAAGAATAGTGTACCCTGGTAAACACTAACCCGAAGTCCGGGCAACATACGCAAAACCAAAAACACAGGCCAAATCGCACCCACACCCCCCGTCATGCCACAATAATTGGTATAAACCGCACACAAAACACGCATAATCCCCACACACACATACAACACCCAAGCATCGCAAACCAAACGGAGAGCGCCCCTACCCAGAACTACTTCCCCAAACTAATCACATCAAAAAAAGAAAACACATTTATTATATTCCAACGTACAAGAAACGACTGTCCGACGAACTAATCGAAAGAATATCCAAAATGGGTGGGGGAAAGGGGGATGTTGGAAGGATTTTTTATTTATGGAGTAGGGTGGGGGTGAGTTTTATTTTGTGGTTTTTTGGATGGGATGGGTTTTATGGTGGGGTTGGGGGGGTATTTTTTGATTTTTAATTTAGTAATGTAATATGGTGATGGGGTAATGGTGAAGGTTTATAGGTGGGTGTTGTATATGGGGGGGTGGGGAGGAATGGGGGGGTTATAGGTATATGGAAGATGGTGTTTGGAGATGTTTGGGGGGGGGTTGGGGGGGGTTGAGATGTGTTAGATTGTGAGGTAGGGGAGGGGTGTTAGTGGTGATATGTGAGGGTGGGGTAATAAGAGGATGGGGTGTTAGAAGAAGAGGTTAATGATGTGGTTTTGGGATATAGGTGTTTGTTGGGGATTTTAAGGGGAATAGAAAGGGGGAGTATGGGGAAGTTGGAGAGTTGTGATGGATGTTGAGGGATAGGAGGTGGTGGAATTTAGGTTGGGGGTGGGTATGTGGGTGTGGTGGGGGGGATGGGAATGTGAGAGAATAGTAGTAGGGGTAGAGAAAGTTGGGGGATGAGGGGGGGGGAGGGGGGTGGGTATATAAGTTGTTTATGTATGGGAGGGTAATTGGGGTTGGTATGTTTGGGGGGTGGGTTGAAGGGATATGAATGTGATAGTTATAGATATGGTTTTATTTAGTGTGATTTTGTTGTAGATATTTTTTGTGGTGGATTGGGTTTTGATGTTTTAGTTGTGGAGAAGATATGTGTAGGGGGTGTGGATTTGGGGGGGGGAGGGGGAAGTGGAGTGGGAGGTGGAGATTTGGATTTGGATTGATGTGGGAGAATGGTTTATATAGTGTTGGTGTAATGTGGGTTAGGGGTGGGGAATTGGGGGGTTGGGAAAGAGGGGAGGGGGTGGGGAGGGGGGGGGTATTGGGGTGTGTTAATAGATGGGTATTTATGGGGTAGAGGGGTTGATGGTGTAAGGGGAGAGATAGAATTGTATTTGAGTTTTGGGGGTTTGGTGGGGATGTAGGATGAAGGGTTTAAAGTTGGGGGAATGTTGTAGAGTTTTTAGTTGGGGATGGTTTTTGGGGTTATATGTATGGAGTTTGTGATATGTTTGATTGTGGGATATGGGTATGGATGTATGGGTATATGTTTATGGAGTGATGGGTATTTGGTATGGAGTGTTATATGGAAATGAGAGGGGGATGAGAGGAAAGATATGGAAAATATAGAAGATTTGGAAGGAAGGGAAATGAGTTGTTGAAGGAGTTGAGGGGGTGAGATGGGTGGGTAGTGTATAGGGGGGGAAGGTGGGGGGGGGTAAGGGGATGGGGGGATAGGGGGTAAATTTGAGTGGAGAGGGTAGGAAGGGGTAGTTGTGGGTGGAGGTTGAGGAAAGGGATAGTAGATTAGGGTTGGAATGGTGGGTGGGTAAGGGGAGAGAGATGTAATGGGTGTAAATAGGGAAAAAGGGAAGGAGGGTGGGGAAAATTGGGGGGGGGGAAAAGAAATATAAGGGAAGGAGGGTTGGGTTTGTGTTTGGGTGTTATGGGGGTTGATTATGAAGATAGGAGAGATAAGGGATGGATAGGGGGGGAGATAGAGAGAGGGTATAAGGGGAATTGAATTATATATAAGGGGGGGAAGGAGGAAAGAAAGGGGGAGAGGGTTTGAAGAGGTGAGAGAAGGGATAGAGAGGGAAAGAATGATAGGATAGGTAGAAAATTGAGAATAGTGGATGAGGGAGGGGGGGGTAGGTGAAGTAGGATGTGAGATAGAAGGGGGAGGGGATAAGAGGTGGGGAAACTGTAATGTTTAAGAAGATAATAGGGTGTTTGGTGTGGGATAAGAGTTGTGATGGAGTGTTTTTAGATATGGTATAGAAATGAGATATATGGGTTAAATTATGGATTTGTAAATTAGAATTAATGTTGGATGATAGGGATAAGGAAATGAAAAGGAGGGGTTAGGGGAATATGAAGAAGAATGTATGGGGAGGAGAGTGGGTTGATAAGGAATTGGGGGAAGTAAGGAATTGTGGGAATGGTGAGGGGAATTAAGGAAGGGGGAAGTAAGGGGAGGGGGGGGGGAAATGTGAGGTGTTGATAGGTTGATTTAGGGGGGGGGTTGGTTTAAGTTGTGATTGTGTTAATTGATAATAATGATTATGGGTGGGTTATTAGGGAGAGGGTGGAGAGTGAGGGAGGGAAAATGAGGGGTATTTATGGGTTGGAATAGGTGTGTTTGTTGGGTTTGGTAGATGTTTTGTTGTTTAGGTTAATTTGGGTGAGTTGGTGGGGTTTGGAATAGGGTGTGAGGGGTGGGTTGTGGGGGTATTAGGGGGAGATAGTATGTTAGATAAGTATATTAATTGAATAAGGTATATGTAAGTTGATAAGGTATATTAAGTGGATAAGGTATATGTAAAGTTGATAAGGTATATTAAGTTGGGATAAGGTATATTAAGTTGATAAGGTATATTAGTTGGATAAGGTATATTAAGTTGGATAAGGTATATGTAAGTTGGATAAGGTATATTTAGTTGATAAGGTATATGTAAGTTGAAAGTATATGTAAGTTGGATAAGGTATATGTAAGTTGGGAATAGTATATGTAAGTTGGATAAGTATATGTAAGTGATAAGGTATATTAAGTTGATAAGGTATATGGTAAGTTGGATAAGGTATATTATGTTAGATAAGGTTTATGTATGTTTAGATAAGGGTATATGTTGTTAGATAGGTATATTATGTTAGATAAGGTATATGTATTAGATAAGGTATATTAGTTAGAGAATTAAATGTAGGTTAGATAAGGTATATGTAGGGTTAAAAGGTATATTAGTTAGAGAAGTATATGTATGGGAATTGGTGAGTTTTGGTAGGTTTTTGGGGTGTTCGGGGGTGTGGTTTGGGTGGGGGGGACGGGGTGGGGTAATGGGTTGTTGGGGGATTTGTAAAGATGGGGTAAGTTGAGGGGATTATATAGGGGTATGGATGTTTGGTGAGTATTGAGGGGTGGGGATGGGGGATGTTTAGTAATGTGGTATAGGGGGGTTTTGGTGGTTGGGGTTTTTTAAGTTTGGTAAGTTGGGTTGGTTTGTGTAGGTGGGGTGGGGAGTGTGGGTATGATTTTGGGTAGGAGAGGGTTTAAAGGGGGGTAATTGGTGGGTAAGTAGGGTTAACGGAGGTGGGTTAAGGATGGAATAAGGGGTGGGGTAAGGGAGGGGTGTTAGAGTTTAAGGATGGTGTTAGGAGGGGGTAAGGATTGGTTAAGAGGGGGTTTAAGGATGGTGGTAAAGAGTTAAGAGGTTTGAGGATGGTGGTAGGGAGGGGGTAAGGATTGGTGTAAAAGAGGGTGGGTAAGGAGGGTGGTTGAGGATGGAGGTAGGGGTTTGGTTGAGAAGGGGTGTTTAGGATGTGGTTAGGAGGGTTTTGAGGGTGGGTGGTAGGGTGGTAAGAAAGGGGTGAATAGGGGTGAGTTTAGTTGGGATGAGGATGGAAGTATTGATGGGGAAGGGGTAGAAAAGGGAGGGTGGATGGGGTTTATAATTAGTAATGGAATAAGTATATATGTATATAGATATGGATGGATATGTATAATATGGATGATATTATATATGTATATATATGATGATATTTATTATTATTAGGTAGATATTATTAGGATATATGTATTAATATTTGGTAGTTAGGGATATATGTAGTGAAAATTGATATATGAAGTTAATATAATTGAGGGGGGGAAATTTTGGGTTTGAGGTGGGGATGTGTTGAGGGTTGTTAGGGGGAATATAAGAATAGAATATTGATGTGGATTTAGGTAGAGAAGAAGTTGATTATGGAGAGGTGTGTTGAGATGATAAGGGTAGTAATGGGTATAATGTTGAAAGAGTGTTTTTATTTTTATAGATAGTTTTTTATTGTGTGTGTGTGTAATTTTTTTGTTAGTTGTGAATATAATGTGGGGAAGAGAAGGGGGGAAGAGATGGGTAAAGAGAATGGGGAAATATAATGTGGAATATAATGTGGGAATATTAATGTGTAATATTAATGTGGGGAATATAATCTGTGGGGAATATAATGGGGGAAATAATGTGGGGAAGATAATGGGAAATAAGGTGGGAAGATAATGTGGGAAGATAATGTGGAAGATAATTGGGAAGATAATGTGGGGGAAGATAATTGGGGAAGATAGTTTTATTGGAATGGATAATGTGGGAGATAATGTGGAATATAATGTGGAAGATAATTGGAAGATAAATGTGAAATAATGTGGGAAGATAATTGGTAATATAAATGGAAGAAATTGGTAATATAAGGTGGGAAAGACTGGAATATAATTGGGATATAATGTGGGAAATAATGGATGATAATTGGGGAAGATAATGTGGATTATAATGGTGGGAAATAATTGGGGATGAATAATTGGGAAGATAAATTGGAAATAAATGTGGGAAGATAATGTGGGGGAATTTAATTTGGGGAATATGTGGAATATAAGTGGGAATATAAGTGGAATTTATGTGGAATAGAATGTGGAATAATAATTGGGAATATATGGTGATGGTGGGAGATGGGGGTAGTTGGGGTTTTTTGGTTTTGGTTTGGGGTTGAGTGAGAGATGGTGGGGTGGTTGAGTGAGGGGGGGGAGGGGGAGGTTATAGGGGGTGGTGGCACCTGTGTTGTGTAGCAGGTATGTGGATCCATGGAATAATAAGGTGGTCACTGTATATAATGAAGGAGGACTGACTGTAAATTGATGGATGGAACCATGTCTCATGAAGGAAGGTCTAATGATGGAGCTCAATATGGAGTCCATGTGGGTGGGGGAATGTGAGGATGACAGAGATGGTGCATGTATGATAGGAAATTGGGGAGTGGGTTGAAACGTGGAGACTATGTATCCTGATCATTATGGTTGTCACGATCATTGTATAATGATTCTAATGTTTTGTATTTCAAATGTATACACAATCACTAATGGTAATGTACGTTCCTTAGTATCATGCTATATGATTGTACTTTCCTTTGAACTAATTCTTATTATGGTTTAGATAATTTACTGTGTATACTGCTTATATATGTATGACATTCATGTGTTGATACAAGTGGGAGGGAATGTTAATGATATCTGGTTTGTACTTTCCTGTTGTCTACTGATATTTGGTTGTAATTTAATTGTATAATGATTATTATGGGTTTGTACAGTTATATGGGTATAAAGATAGATAATGGTTTGTAAGGTTTAATTTGTGTATAATTATTATTATGGGTTTGTAATATAATTTGTATACTGATTATTATTTATGTAATTTAATTTTGTATAATTGATTATTATGTTTTGTAATTATGTGATAATACATGATTATAATGGGGTTGTAATTAATTTGGTATAATGATTATTATGGGTTTGTAATTTAATGTGGTATAATGCATTATTATGGTTTGTAATTTAATGTGTCTAATATTATTATGGTTATGGGGTAATTTAATGAGTAAATGATTATATGAGGGTTTGTGAATATAATGTGGTTAAAATGATTATTATGGGTTGGTAATATAATTAATACTGATTATTATGTTTGTACTTAACTAGTGGAAAAAAATATATTATTTTTGTAATTTAATGTGTATACTTAATATTCTGTTTAGTAAATTAATTTGTATATGATTATTATGGGTATGGTAATATAATTGTATTCCTGATTATATGGGTATGTAAATTAATGTGTCTAAATATTATTACATGGGTTTGTAATTTAATGTATATAATATTATTATGGGGTTTGTAATTTAATTAGGTATAATGATTATTATGGGTTTGAACTTTAATGTGTATAAGGGAAATTCTTCAGGGATTGTACTTTATATGTTATAATGATTATTATGGTTTAGACATTACAGTATATACTGACTAAACTGGTTTTGTAATTTAATGTGAATAATGATTATTAAGGTTTGTAACTTTTAAGGTGTATACCTATTATACTGAGGTTTGTAATTTAATGTGTAAAATTATATTATGGTATGTAATTATTTGTATAATTATTATTATGGGTTTGTAATTTAAAGTGTATAATGATTATTTATGGGGTTTTAATATCATGAGTATCTTTACTTCTACTGGTTTTAATTACTGTGTATAATGATTATTATGGTATGTCATTTATAATGTATAAATATTATTATGATTTGTGATTTAATTGTATATTTACATATTCACTGGGTTTGTAATTAATGTGTATAATATTATTATGGGTTTTGGTAATTAATTTGTATAAAGATTATTAATGGGTTTGTCCTATAACTTTTATAATTATTGCTTATTGGTATGTCATTTCCAAGTTCTAGTGAATATATGGTTATAAATTACTTTGTACTAATTATTATTATGGGTTATCATTTATTATAGAATAATGATTATTATGGGTTTGTAATTTAACTGTTATAGTTATATTATGTTTGTAATTTACAATGTGTAACACGATTATTATGGGTTTGTAACTTTAATTTGGTATCAAAGATATTATGGTTTGTAATACAAGTGGTATAAACTGATTATAATGTTTCATACTTTACTGTGTATAGTGATTATTATGGGATTGTCAGTTACTATGGGTATAATATTATTATGGATTGGTCAGATCATATTATACTTATTCTTATGGTTTGTAAGTTAATGTGTAACTGACTATTAGGTTTGTAATTTCCTTTGTATAGTTATTCATTCAGGTTTGTACATTAAAGTGTATAATGCACTTATTCTGGTTTTTCATTTCGTCTTAAACTTATCATCAGGGTTTGAAATTTACATGTGTATAATGATATAATGTTTGTTAATTCCTTTGTATAGTGATATCTGGGGTTATGGTAATTTCATGTTTAATGATACTTAATGGTTTGTAAATCTTAAGTATAAAGATTATTATGGGGTTTGTATTATGTGAAAGTGATTATTATGGTTTTGTCCATTTCATGTGTATCATTATTTCATAATGTTTGAAAATTTACAGTTTTTTAGTTTGGTTGGTTGTTTTATTAGTGTTTTATTGTTTGTGTATAATGATTATTATGGGTTGTACAGTTACTTCTGTATGAAAATTAATGCATAATTAAGGTTTAGTATTTTATGTGTATCAATGCTTATTCTGGGTATGTCTTAATGTGTAATAATGATTATTATGGTTTGTATTTAATTAATAATATTAATAATGGGTATGTAATTTAATGTTATATGATTAGTTATGTTTTGGTAAAAAAATTTATATAAATATTTATGTTTGGTAATTTAAGTGTATCATGCTTATTATGGGTTTGTTCATATCATGTGTATCAGTGATAATTATGTTTTAATTTAATGTGGTAATATTTATTCATATGTTATTGTAATTTAATTTGTCATAATGATTATTATGGGTTTAGTCATTTAATGTATATAATGATTATTACTGTAATTTTCGATTGAGGGGGTGGTAGGAAGGGGGGAGATAAGTCGGAAAGCGTGGTTACAGTCCAGGGGGGGAGAATAAGTAGAAACGCAATGTAGTTGAGGACACGGGGCACGATCAAGGGGTAAGGCATTGTGGGTTTTGAAAACGGAAAGGGGCTATCATTAGAAAGAAGTGGTTTGAGGCCCTGGAATACATGAGGTACAATATTGTTTGACGTCAATGGAGATCATGACAGGGGGACAATATGTGGTAATGACAGGACTGTGACTCTCCTTTGTCGGGCAGTGTTTGAGTAAACGGTGAGATAATGAGACCCAATGTGGATGAGGACACGGGGAATAAGTATTAAGGACTTATGGTTTGAGAAATTATATACTTAGGAAACATATGTGGTTTGAGAACAAGGGGAGAATAATGCACGGCAAATATAGGTTTGAGGACAAGGTGCATAATGAGGCACTCCTTGTAAGAGGTCAATGTGCTACCACCTCGTAAAGAGGTGGTTTGAGAAAAGGGAAGCATCCAGTGGGAACCAGATGAGGTTTTAGATTACGAAAGGTGATATAATTTGTCCTTGCTGTGGTTTGAGGACCAGGGCAGATACGGGTGGACACGGAATGTTTTGAGTACCGGTCGACAACGACGGGAAAGATTGTTTAGGCAAGGTGAGAACCTTGGTTCACAGGCAGTTTAAGAGTCATGGATACTAAGGGGGAAGAGTGGTTTGGCGGAACAGGGGAATAATGAGGACATCTGTGGTTTGAGGGCACGGGCAGAAAAGGCAGGGAAATATGTGGGTTGAGGCACAGGGCGACATCCGACGTACCTATGTGGTTTGAGACATGTAAGAGTACGGGGGACATGGATTGGTTTGCGTCCATGTGCGATACATGCGAACTATGTGGTTTGAGGCACAGGGAGATCAGGGGGAGATTGGATTGGAAAGGAGATAAGGGGGTGAGACAGAGAATATTAATATTAGGTGGTGGAGGTAAGAGAGAGTTTCATTGGTGTGCATCTGGGGAGAGTTTTCTCTGACAAGATCAAAGGGTGAAATGGGGTAGATTGTAGAGGGGAAGTTGGGGTGATATGGTAGCAGGGTAAGGAAGTATTTGGTGGTGATATGGTAAGGGTAAGCTGTGGGTAGATGGTGTGCTCTGTAGCTTTGCACGGTGGGTCTATGGAGTGATATGGTAGCGGTTCGCGGGGGTAGTTGGTGATCTGGTAACGGTAGACGATGTATTTGGTACTAAGGTCGATTGTAATCACTGATGTCAATGGGGTGATCTGGGTACGGGTAAGCAAGGTAGTTGGGTGAACTAGGTCCTGTAATCGGTCATTGGGGGTGCTATGGGTAGAGGGGTATAGGATGTCTGTTAGTGTGATAAGGGAGAGTTATCTCGAAGTATTAGGGTGATTGGGGCATGGTAGAATAGGGGTCGTTGTGGCTATGGTAAGATGTTACGAGTGGGGTAGTTGGGGTGATATGGGACCGCTTTTCTCTGTGGGTCGTGGGTGTGACAAGGGAAGATTGTCTCGTGGGGTAGATTGGTGTATGCTATGGTAGAGGTACATACTGCGGGTCGTAGGGTGAACAGGTAGCTTTTCATCGTGGTAGATGTGTGCACTGGGTCGCGTTAAGAGGCTGTCTTTGGGGGTATATGGGGGGGGGGGGGGGGGGGGGGGGGGGGGGGGGGGGGGGGGGGGGGGGGGGGGGGGGGGGGGGGGGGGGGGGGGGGGGGGGGGGGGGGGGGGGGGGGGGGGGGGGGGGGGGGGGGGGGGGGGGGGGGGGGGGGGGGGGGGGGGGGGGGGGGGGGGGGGGGGGGGGGGGGGGGGGGGGGGGGGGGGGGGGGGGGGGGGGGGGGGGGGGGGGGGGGGGGGGGGGGGGGGGGGGGGGGGGGGGGGGGGGGGGGGGGGGGGGGGGGGGGGGGGGGGGGGGGGGGGGGGGGGGGGGGGGGGGGGGGGGGGGGGGGGGGGGGGGGGGGGGGGGGGGGGGGGGGGGGGGGGGGGGGGGGGGGGGGGGGGGGGGGGGGGGGGGGGGGGGGGGGGGGGGGGGGGGGGGGGGGGGGGGGGGGGGGGGGGGGGGGGGGGGGGGGGGGGGGGGGGGGGGGGGGGGGGGGGGGGGGGGGGGGGGGGGGGGGGGGGGGGGGGGGGGGGGGGGGGGGGGGGGGGGGGGGGGGGGGGGGGGGGGGGGGGGGGGGGGGGGGGGGGGGGGGGGGGGGGGGGGGGGGGGGGGGGGGGGGGGGGGGGGGGGGGGGGGGGGGGGGGGGGGGGGGGGGGGGGGGGGGGGGGGGGGGGGGGGGGGGGGGGGGGGGGGGGGGGGGGGGGGGGGGGGGGGGGGGGGGGGGGGGGGGGGGGGGGGGGGGGGGGGGGGGGGGGGGGGGGGGGGGGGGGGGGGGGGGGGGGGGGGGGGGGGGGGGGGGGGGGGGGGGGGGGGGGGGGGGGGGGGGGGGGGGGGGGGGGGGGGGGGGGGGGGGGGGGGGGGGGGGGGGGGGGGGGGGGGGGGGGGGGGGGGGGGGGGGGGGGGGGGGGGGGGGGGGGGGGGGGGGGGGGGGGGGGGGGGGGGGGGGGGGGGGGGGGGGGGGGGGGGGGGGGGGGGGGGGGGGGGGGGGGGGGGGGGGGGGGGGGGGGGGGGGGGGGGGGGGGGGGGGGGGGGGGGGGGGGGGGGGGGGGGGGGGGGGGGGGGGGGGGGGGGGGGGGGGGGGGGGGGGGGGGGGGGGGGGGGGGGGGGGGGGGGGGGGGGGGGGGGGGGGGGGGGGGGGGGGGGGGGGGGGGGGGGGGGGGGGGGGGGGGGGGGGGGGGGGGGGGGGGGGGGGGGGGGGGGGGGGGGGGGGGGGGGGGGGGGGGGGGGGGGGGGGGGGGGGGGGGGGGGGGGGGGGGGGGGGGGGGGGGGGGGGGGGGGGGGGGGGGGGGGGGGGGGGGGGGGGGGGGGGGGGGGGGGGGGGGGGGGGGGGGGGGGGGGGGGGGGGGGGGGGGGGGGGGGGGGGGGGGGGGGGGGGGGGGGGGGGGGGGGGGGGGGGGGGGGGGGGGGGGGGGGGGGGGGGGGGGGGGGGGGGGGGGGGGGGGGGGGGGGGGGGGGGGGGGGGGGGGGGGGGGGGGGGGGGGGGGGGGGGGGGGGGGGGGGGGGGGGGGGGGGGGGGGGGGGGGGGGGGGGGGGGGGGGGGGGGGGGGGGGGGGGGGGGGGGGGGGGGGGGGGGGGGGGGGGGGGGGGGGGGGGGGGGGGGGGGGGGGGGGGGGGGGGGGGGGGGGGGGGGGGGGGGGGGGGGGGGGGGGGGGGGGGGGGGGGGGGGGGGGGGGGGGGGGGGGGGGGGGGGGGGGGGGGGGGGGGGGGGGGGGGGGGGGGGGGGGGGGGGGGGGGGGGGGGGGGGGGGGGGGGGGGGGGGGGGGGGGGGGGGGGGGGGGGGGGGGGGGGGGGGGGGGGGGGGGGGGGGGGGGGGGGGGGGGGGGGGGGGGGGGGGGGGGGGGGGGGGGGGGGGGGGGGGGGGGGGGGGGGGGGGGGGGGGGGGGGGGGGGGGGGGGGGGGGGGGGGGGGGGGGGGGGGGGGGGGGGGGGGGGGGGGGGGGGGGGGGGGGGGGGGGGGGGGGGGGGGGGGGGGGGGGGGGGGGGGGGGGGGGGGGGGGGGGGGGGGGGGGGGGGGGGGGGGGGGGGGGGGGGGGGGGGGGGGGGGGGGGGGGGGGGGGGGGGGGGGGGGGGGGGGGGGGGGGGGGGGGGGGGGGGGGGGGGGGGGGGGGGGGGGGGGGGGGGGGGGGGGGGGGGGGGGGGGGGGGGGGGGGGGGGGGGGGGGGGGGGGGGGGGGGGGGGGGGGGGGGGGGGGGGGGGGGGGGGGGGGGGGGGGGGGGGGGGGGGGGGGGGGGGGGGGGGGGGGGGGGGGGGGGGGGGGGGGGGGGGGGGGGGGGGGGGGGGGGGGGGGGGGGGGGGGGGGGGGGGGGGGGGGGGGGGGGGGGGGGGGGGGGGGGGGGGGGGGGGGGGGGGGGGGGGGGGGGGGGGGGGGGGGGGGGGGGGGGGGGGGGGGGGGGGGGGGGGGGGGGGGGGGGGGGGGGGGGGGGGGGGGGGGGGGGGGGGGGGGGGGGGGGGGGGGGGGGGGGGGGGGGGGGGGGGGGGGGGGGGGGGGGGGGGGGGGGGGGGGGGGGGGGGGGGGGGGGGGGGGGGGGGGGGGGGGGGGGGGGGGGGGGGGGGGGGGGGGGGGGGGGGGGGGGGGGGGGGGGGGGGGGGGGGGGGGGGGGGGGGGGGGGGGGGGGGGGTGGGGGGGGGGGGGGGGGGGGGGGGGGGGGGGGGGGGGGGGGGGGGGGGGGGGGGGGGGGGGGGGGGGGGGGGGGGGGGGGGGGGGGGGGGGGGGGGGGGGGGGGGGGGGGGGGGGGGGGGGGGGGGGGGGGGGGGGGGGGGGGGGGGGGGGGGGGGGGGGGGGGGTGGGGGGGGGGGGGGGGGGGGGGGGGGGGGGGGGGGGGGGGGGGGGGGGGTGGGGGGGGGGGGGGGGGGGGGGGGGGGGGGGGGGGGGGGGGGGGGGGGGGGGGGGGGGGGGGGGGGGGGGGGGGGGGGGGGGGGGGGGGGGGGGGGGGGGGGGGGGGGGGGGGGGTGGGGGGGGGGGGGTGGGGGGGGGGGGGGGGGGGGGGGTGGGGGGGGGGGGGTGGGGGTGGGAGGGGGTGGTAGTGAGAGGGGTGGTAGTGGGAGGGGGGTGGTAGTGGGAGGGGGGTGGTAGTGGGAGGGGGGTGGTAGTGGGAGGGGGGTGGTAGTGGGAGGGGGGGTGGTAGTGAGAGGGGAGGTGGTAGTGGGAGGGGAGGTGGTAGCGGGAGGGGAGGTGGTAGCGGGAGGGGAGGTGGTAGTGAGAGGGGGGTGGTAGTGGGAGGGGAGGTGGTAGTGGGAGGGGGGGTGGTAGTGGGAGGGGGGGGGTGGTAGTGGGAGGGGGGTGGTAGTGGGAGGGGGGTGGTAGTGGGAGGGGGGTGGTAGTGAGAGGGAGGTGGTAGTGGGAGGGGGGGTGGTAGTGAGAGGGAGGTGGTAGTGGGAGGGGGGGTGGTAGTGGGAGGGGGGGTGGTAGTGGGAGGGGGGTGGTAGTGGGAGGGGGGTGGTAGTGGGAGGGGGGTGGTAGTGAGAGGGAGGTGGTAGTGGGAGGGGGGGTGGTAGTGAGAGGGAGGTGGTAGTGGGAGGGGGGTGGTAGTGGGAGGGGGGGTGGTAGTGGGAGGGGGGTGGTAGTGGGAGGGGGGTGGTAGTGGGAGGGAGGTGGTAGTGGGAGGGGGGGTGGTAGTGAGAGGGAGGTGGTAGTGGGAGGGGGGTGGTAGTGGGAGGGGGGGGGGGTAGTGGGAGGGGGGTGGTAGTGGGAGGGGGGTGGTAGTGAGAGGGAGGTGGTAGTGGGAGGGGGGTGGTAGTGGGAGGGGGGTGGTAGTGAGAGGGAGGTGGTAGTGGGAGGGGAGGTGGTAGTGAGAGGGAGGTGGTAGTGGGAGGGGGGTGGTAGTGGGAGGGGGGTGGTAGTGGGAGGGGGGGTGGTAGTGAGAGGGAGGTGGTAGTGGGAGGGGAGGTGGTAGTAGGGGAGGGGAGGTGGTAGTGGGGGGAGGTGGTAGTGGGAGGGGAGGTGGTAGTGGGAGGGGGGTGGTAGTGGGAGGGGGGGTGGTAGTGGGAGGGGGGTGGTAGTGGGAGGGGGGGTGGTGGTAGTGGGAGGGGGGTGGTAGTGGGAGGGGGGTGGTAGTGAGAGGGAGGGTAGTGGAGGGGTGGTAGTGAGAGGGAGGTGGTAGTGGGAGGGGTGAGGGAGGTGGTAGTGGGAGGGGGGTGTAGTGGGGGGGTGGTATGTAGTGGGGGGGGGTGGTAGTGGGAGGGGGGTGGTAGTGGAGGGGAGGTGGTAGGGGAGGGGGTGGTAGTGGGAGGGGGGGTGGTAGTGGGAGGGGGGTGGTAGTGGGAGGGGGGTGGTAGTGGGAGGGGGGTGGTAGTGGAGGGTTGGAGGTGGTGGTAGTGGGAGGGGGGTGGTAGTGGGAGGGGGGTGGTAGTGAGAGGGAGGTGGTAGTGGGAGGGGAGGTGGTAGTGAGAGGGAGGTGGTAGTGGGAGGGGGGTGGTAGTGGGGGGGGGGTGGTAGTGGGAGGGGGGGGGTAGTGAGAGGAGGTGGTAGTGGAGGGGAGGTGGTAGGGGGGGGTGGTAGGGGAGGGGAGGTGGTAGTGGGAGGGGAGGTGGTAGTGGGAGGGGGGTGGTAGTGGGAGGGGGGGTAGTGGGGGGTGGTGAGGGGAGGTGGTAGTGGGAGGGGAGGTGGTAGTGGGAGGGGGGAGGGAGGGGGGGGTAGTGGGAGGGGGTGGTAGTGGGAGGGGAGGTGGTAGTGGGAGGGGAGGTGGTAGTGGGAGGGGGGGTGGTAGTGGGAGGGGAGGTGGTAGTGGGAGGGGAGGTGGTAGTGGGTGGGGAGGTGGTAGTGGGAGGGAGGTGGTAGTGGGAGGGGGGTGGTAGTGGGAGGGGGGTGGTAGTGGGAGGGGGGTGGTAGTGGGAGGGGAGGTGGTAGTGGGAGGGGAGGTGGTAGTGGGAGGGGAGGTGGTAGTGGGAGGGGGGTGGTAGTGGGAGGGGGGGGTGGTATGGGGGGGGGGTGGTAGTGGGAGGGGGGTGGTAGTTGGAGGGGAGGTGGTAGTGGGAGGGGGGGTGGTAGTGGGAGGGGGGTGGTAGTTGGAGGGGGGTGGTAGTGGGAGGGGGGGTGGTAGTTGGAGGGGGGTGGTAGTGGGAGGGGGGTGGTAGTGGGAGGGGGGTGGTATATATTTAAAAAAAACACACAGACTGTACTTGCTGTCAACAACTGTAAATGCATTTAATTCTGTGAGTAACAAACAATAAAAAATAAAATAAAAATAAAAATACATGGTCACGGCAATTTCACCTCTGTGGCATTTTAGAAGGTCTTACATTTTGCTTAACTAAAACTTGGATTGTCATTAATCTGTGATTGTAAATACTTTGTTAGACCACTCAGAGTGCACTTTACACACTGCCCCTTTAAGTCTCGATACTTTACATTAAGAGTTTGGTTTTACTAGAAATATGCCACAACTACCAGGTCCCATAATCATTCCAGTTTATTCTTTCATCTAATCTCTGTGTGGAGAGATTCAGGAGAGAAATGCCTTTGTGGAGATTTTTGACAACATTGCTTTTGTCACAATCACTCTGCTGTGTTATTTTTCTACTATTGCACAAATCATAATAATCCATTTTAAGTCAGCGATGATGTCAGCAGCGTCTATGGATTTTTTCACAACTATTCTCTCACTTTTCCAATGCCATCAATAATCTTAATCACATGTGTTTTTCTCACTGTGGGAGGATTAAAAGAATCTCTTCATCTTCATCTGTTTCAAAAGACTTTCCCGTTGATCAGTGGTGAGAATACAGAAGGTTTAGGGTCGATCCGTTAAGATCCAACAGGTCCAGATGTAGGTTATGGTTTGATTTATGTTTCGCTGCATTCACATCTGCTCACAAATGTTTGTTTGAACTGACAAGATCTCCTCAAATTCAACAATGTCTTGTCCCCTGGAAATTAATTAAGATATTCTCGTGGACTTATCTGTCTGCACACATTGATAATCTACAGAAACAGGTTCTCTCCTTGCTCAGGGTTCATTGTAAAAAGTAAATGATTATTTTTCTAATAATCCATAATTAAGCAGTACTTAATTCTTCACACTTTTGTCTGATCAGAAAAACCTCTAACACATGAAGAGGACAAAGGTTTATTTTCAGTTTTGGTCAAAATAAAAAACAAAACAACGTCTTATTTATATATTTATTAATTTGGAACCTCAAACAGAATGACATTTCACTTAATTTTATTTGGAGCGAACAAAACCGATTTCAAAACTGTAAATAGACAGTAGTTTAAACAATGTCGTTTACACAGATTTGAGCTGAAATAGAGTGTTTTACATAATACACTGTAGTTTGAAGAGAATAGTGTCATAATGTGAATTATCTGGGGGATCTCGAACCACAGCAATGTAAATTTCACTTCTTTCTGGTCTGCTCTGGTCTGCTCTGGTCTGCTCTGGTCTGCTCTGCTCTGGTCTGGTCTGGTCTGGTCTGCTCTGGTCTGCTCTGGTCTGCTCTGGTCTGCTCTGGTCTGCTCTGGTCTGCTCTGGTCTGCTCTGGTCTGGTCTGCTCTGGTCTGCTCTGGTCTGCTCTGGTCTGCTCTGGTCTGCTCTGGTCTGCTCTGGTCTGCTCTGCTCTGGTCTGCTCTGGTCTGCTCTGGTCTGCTCTGGTCTGGTCTGCTCTGCTCTGGTCTGCTCTGGTCTGCTCTGGTCTGCTCTGCTCTGCTCTGGTCTACAGCTGCAGCACACAGTCCGTGCCTGGATACTGGGGCAGATTCAGGTTGTACTTCCTCTCCAGCTGTGGGGGGACAAAGCGACCCCCCAGATAGTGGTACCTCCCTCTGAAGAGAAGAGCGGACTTCTTTGGGGCCGTGAGAGAGATCAGTAAGTCCGGCTGCAGTCCGTCTGAGCTCCCCTGCTCCACGTCCCAGCCTGGAACACACACGTCCGGGTTGGGAAACATACTAAAGGTTCACTACAAAGAAAAGGTTAAAAAGAAAAGTGAAAGTACATTTCACAAACTGAGCTGAGGATGATAATGTTCATGAAAGCAGTTCATGAAAGGTTAGAATTTGACTTTTGTTCCAGGATTGTGGGAAATACTTTCTTTTTGCTTTATGTTAATGTTAAATAGTTACATTTAGCCGAGAAAAAGTTCCACAAACAGAATCCCTGTCGATAATGAGAACAATGTTGTCAAAGTTGTGGTTTTGATCAAACTTTGGACATTTTAGCCTGATGTACCATGTTTGGAGGTTTCTCATTGTAGAACTACTTATTTCATCAAAACCAAAACTACTCGGCCTTAAAGACCACACCAAAAATGATGTATTCCTGGAATATAACTATTATTGAAGAAATATTTAAATACCAAAAATTATTATGAAAAACAATCACATTCAGATTTAGGCACAAAACTGGAAAAACTACCATTAACTGACTTTGTGTCTATTTTTGTGACTTTCCTTCAAATACTTCAAAGATAATATCACAAATAAATACTATGAATCAAAATGAATAAAACAAAAAAATGTATGCTTTTCTAGATTTAAACTTTGTAACAGAGTTGACTATTTACAAAACAAAGGAAAATATGAATATTATCGTCGACTAAACAGATTAAATAATATTAGCAATGACGAGCTTCAGGTTCTCTGCCGCTCCATACGATTGGTTTATTTATTCCAAGCTTCTAAACAGGAACAGACTAAAGCCATTTTCAGCATTTACATTATATATATATATATATATATATATACATATATATACACATTATACATTTACATTATATATATACATTATACAAAAACACACAAATACTTAAAAATAAATATATTTGAGGGTTTTTTTTTTCACTCCTGTCAAAGCTCAGAAAGGAACAGGGAGATTTCAGTCCCAGAGGCAGAGACAGGAGCAGCGTGGTCAGGACTGCAGCTGGAGGATTTTACACATGGTGCATGTCGTGTGTGATGGGGGAAACCGGAGCGCCCAGAGGAAACCCACCCAGACAAAGGGCGACCCGTGCAAACTGGACGTAGAAAGCAACGTAGAAGTGAACCCACAACCTTCTTGCTGTGAGTCATTGGTGCTATACCCACTCAGACACTGTCAAATCAAGTAGTAAGTAGTAAGTAAGTAATCTTTATTTATATACCGCCTTTTCACTGCACATCGGAGTCTCAAAGCAGTTTACAATTGTTATTTTTGGGAGTGGGGGTCGCCAGTACACGAGGCGCACGCCAGACCTATTGTACATATTTTTAGTGGTAGGGGAAACCGGAGCACCCGGAGGAAACCTACGCAGACACGGGGAGAACATGCAAACTCCACTCAGAAAGGCCCTGGTCCAACCGGGATTCGAACCCAGGACCTTCTTGCTGAGAGGCGAGAGTGCTATCCACTCAGCCACCGTGTCGCCCAATCAAGACATCAAGACTTCACAACAAGAAGGTCCTGGGTTTCGATTCCACCCTCACACAGGGCGGGGCCTTTCTGCATAGGTTTCCTCCAGGTGCTCCTGTTTTGCCAACCACAAAACCGTGTAGACGAGGCATGAATGTGTGAGTGAGTCAAGGCTGGTTTCAGGTGAAGCACCAGGACACCAAATTGTAAATGGCTTTGTGTGACCTTGGTCTGTTATTTACCCTAAAAGAGCTTAGGTCAAGATATATTTAAAACAGCACATTTGACTTCATACAATATAAATGTCAACCTAAAACAAGGAGACATTTTGTCATTAATAAAAGGTGCTAGCTAAATAACTTTACCTACCTAAACAAATAAACATTACTTACTTACTTATTCATTATGATCAAATGCCTTATCTCCCATCCCAGCACTAACCAGGGCCTGCACTGCTTAGCTTAGTGTTTTAAACCGCTGGCTGACCTGAGGGGATGTCGATGCTGGCGATGGGGACGGTGGTCTTCTGCAGCGTGTCTAAGATTGTCCCAAAAGGCTCCCGTACTGCGCCTTTGAAACTGAACCCAAAAATAGCATCGACCACAAAGTTGTAGGCCTCGTCGATCACCGCCGCCTGAACACAGAAGAAACACCACATCTGTGACAGTTTAGTATCAAACTGAACTAACAACAGTAACAAATATAAACTGGCAACAATAGGATCGAGCTTTTCTGATCGAGAAAAACTTGTTTGTGTTATTCCAATGTGGTTTTACTGCAAATGGCAACTGAATTGAACCTTGAATCTTGATCTTGAAATATTCCACGATACAGAATTAAATGAGAATATTTTCATGGGGGAGAATTTAGAGACTGGAAGACTGCTGTGGGGAGGGTTCTGGATCTCCTGTTACTGTCAAAGTCTCCAAACTGTGAATGATCCTGATTCATCAACACGGCTCATTACTGCTCTGCGTCCATTAAACCTGGAGCCTTCATACTGAGATGTAGCTACAGGAGAGTGTGTGTGTGTGTGTGTGTGTGTGTGTGTGTGTGTGTGTGTGTGTGTGTGTGTGTGTGTGTGTGTGTGTGTGTGTGTGCGTGTGTGTACGTGTGTGTGTGCACTTGTTTTCAACTCCTGGTGGGGTCCATAACCTGAGATTCCACTCACGTCATGGGGACTGGTTTTACGTAGTGGGGCCCGAACACCGGACCCCACTGGTCCAAGCTTAATAATCAATGGGTAATGCTTTTCTAACGGTCCTTATGCAGTCTCTGTAAAAATATGGAAAGGACCCCTGGAGGTTTACTTTCCTGAAAAAAGTGTGTTCTGCGTCGGAACCCTGGTGGTGGGTTGCGGGATATCAAGGAGGGGCACACTGGGGCAATTTCAGTCCAGCAGGCTGGAGCCAATCATGGAGCAGCACAACAGAGGCTGGAGCCAATCATGGAGCCAATCATGGAGCAGCACAACAGAGGCTGGAGCCAATCATGGAGCAGCACAACAGAGGAAATCAGGTGTCAGGCTAGAAAAAGGTGCAAGTGTGTGGTTCATTAGGCTGCAAGAAATCATGGAGGAGCACACTGAAGCGCACGCTTACAAACCACTGGTAAGTGCTGACTACAAGTCATGACTTCAAATTGTTATATAGAATGATTACAAATTATTTGTTGTTTGTGCAGCTTAGTCAAGAGTCCCTAATTGATGAAGTCGACTCAGATTCTGACGATTTAACTGTCACGAAGAAACCTGTACAAAAGTATGGAAAAAGAAAAATCAAAAACACTTTTCTTCAAGACTCGGAAAGTGACGAACCAAAGGCAAATAAGATTGTTATCATGCAGCTGCAAAAGAAGAAAAATGGGGGAGAGTTTACAGCAAGAGACACTTCTGCCTCTACTGTTCAATGTCCTGCCACAAAATGTCCCGTCATTTGACTAGAAAACATGGAAATGAAAGTGACGTAGCCAGAGCATTGGCTCTACCTGTGAAATCTAAAGCACGTAAACTTCAGTTTGATTTGATCAGGAATAGTGGAAACCGTGAGCACAATTTTGAGGTTTTAAAGGCCGGCATTGGAACTTTAGTCCCAGCTAAACAGCCAAATTCCCCAGTTAAATCCAGTGAGTTTTTGCACTGTATAGACTGTGGGGCATTGCTTAAGCGAAAGTCGCTGTGGAGGCATGTGGCCAGGTGCCGGCTTTCACAGAAAGATGCCCAGGCTAAACCAGGCTAAACCAGGTAGAAGTAGGGTCCAGTCCCTCTGCTCCCTAGCCCAGCCTGTACTGGAGGGCATCAGCAAAAAGCTGTGGTCTTTAATTTGGGCAATGCATCAGGATGAGGTCACGGGTGTTGTCAAAGCAGAAAAGGGGATTCTGAGACTCGGAGAGCACCTGTACTTAAAACACGGGCATGATAAAGACTAAGCATGATTACATTAGGCAGAAAATGAGAGAAGTCGGTAGGTTAATTAACGAAGCAAAAACCGCAGGGAAACTGAAAACAATTAAGGATTTCTTTATTCCTTCCAACTTTAACCATGTGATTGATGCAGTCAGGTCTGTGGCTGGATATGATGAGGAAACAAATCAATACAAGACTCCATCCTTGGCCCTCAAACTCGGCCATAGCCTCAGAAAGCTAGCAGATATTCTTGAATGTGACTCAAAAATGGAGCATTGTGTTGATGAACTATTTATTAAAAACCTCCAACGAAGCCGGCTGCTTTTTGAGAAGAGGTGGGACGTCTGTGTTTCTTCTGCTGCCCTACAGACCCTCCGGCAAGCCAAGTGGAACACTCCGGACCTGCTCCCTCTGACTGAGGACGTTAGAGCCATGCATGCACATATTGAGGTATGTCGACCTGAATATGTGCAAACCCTAATAAGTGAGCCAACGTCTAAGCATTGGTCTAAACTGGCAGTTTTGACTCTTTGTGAGGTCATCATTTTCAATCGAAGAAGGGAAGGTGAGGTTTCAAAGATGCCACTGACAGCCTTTACCTTAAGAAGTAAGACTGGGATCCATTCTGACATTGCTCTGGGACTGTCCCAACTTGAGAAAAAGCTGTGTCAGCATTTTCAACGCATTGAAATTAAAGGGAAAAGAAGTCGGAAAGTGCCGGTTCTTTTGACTCCTGAAATGATTGCTTGGATGGAGGTGCTGGTGGAGAACAGAAGGGCCTGTTCCATCTCTGACCATAACCCATACTTCTTTTCCCGCCCGGGCGCAGACACCCACATCAGGGGATCAGACTCCCTACGCCAGGTAGCCAAAGAATGTGGTGCGGTGCATCCAGAGATGCTATCCTCAACCAAACTTAGAAAGCACATAGCTACTATGTCTACAGTTCTCAATATGAAAGAGAATGAGATGGACATACTTGCCAACTTCCTCGGCCATGACATTCGCATCCACAGGCAATATTACAGACTACCAGAGGGGACACTGGAGCTGGCCAAAATCAGCAAAGTGTTGATGGCCATGGAGCAGGGAAGAGTGACGGAATTCGAAGGAAAGAGCCTCGACCAGATACAAATTGAGCCTGAAGGTAATTCTTGATATTATTAAAATATGTATGATTTTTTTCCCCTAAAGGCCACTTGTATTTTTATTTTCTGTGCGACAGGGAGAGCAGTAGAGATCCTCTCACAAACGGACGGGCTAAAAGAAACTTCAAGCGGAGAACCTTCAACCATTCATCAAAAATAGAATCACTGCAATTCGAAAAATAAATCGTGTGTGTGTGTGTGTGTGTGTGTGTGTGTGTGTGTGTGTGTGTGTGTGTGTGTGTGTGTGTGTGTGTGTGTGTGTGTGTGTGTGTGTGTGTGTGTGTGTGTGTGTGTGTGTGTGTTGTGTGTGTGTGTGTGTGTGTGTGTGTGTGTGTGTGTGTGTGTGTGTGTGTGTGTGTGTGTGTGTGTGTGTGTGTGTGTGTGTGTGTGTGTGTGTGTTCAGACCTCAGGCATCTCAGTGAGGAAGGGGATGTCCATCTTCTCACACTGTGTGGTCAGGGCCTGGAACAGAGCGTGGCTCGGTCTCTTTGGATAGAGCAGAGTGGGTTCGTAGCCCTGACACAGACAAAGTGTTTTTACACAAGAGTCACTTTAAAATATAAATTCACATTTACAATCGCTATTTGTACTTTGAGCTTGTTTTATTTTTATATATTTGTCGGGTGCCACAGTGGGGCAACTGTAAAGTGCTAAAGTACGCACACAATAACACTGTGTGTGCCTTAAGGCAGCTGTGGCTACTGCAAGAGTTGATTTGTCCAAAAAAGCGATATATATAAAACAAATGCATTATCGTTATAATTATAATCATTATTATTGTTATTATGTAACAGCACTGTCAACAACAAAATTCTCGAACCCGCTTTATGTCCTGTACTTTGGAAATGTGTTCCATATTTTTTTCCCAAACTACAACTTTATGAATGTAAAACTATGATATTTATATTTAAAACAGTTAACCAGAAAATAGACACAAATATAATAATAATCGTCATGTTAAATATTACAGGAAGTCTCTGTTGTGTTTTAATAACATTAGTTTTATCTGTGTTTCATTAAACGTCTCTGAATAACTCACGAACAGTTTGAGGTGTCGGGCACAGACCAGTCCGTCTCCTCCGTTGTTTCCTGGTCCACAGACGACCAGCAGAGACGGCCTGGACTTCAGCAGAGACGACAGAGGGTAGACCTGACCACGACACACACAACACAACACACACACACAACACAACACACACACACACACACACACACACACACACAACACACAACTCTGAACCAGACACTTATACACACTTTTTATACTGAATAACTACATTAGAAACGTAAAACTACATCACAGGACAATGGGCACAGAGTAAGAGATGTTGAACCAGGAAACGTGTTTATGGTTATAGACAAGAGTAATCCGATTACTCTGCATCTGTAATCAGATTACACACAGGAGTGTTCTTCATGGTTAGACTCTCCCCGACAGGTGCGTGCTCTTCTGTGCAGCAGACGGCAGATAAATGAACAGCTTAAACAAACATTAAAAGAACAAAAGGATGGTTCTGGCTTCAGTGTCGGAGCTGGTCCTGGTCCTGGTCCTGGTTCTGGTCCTGGTCCTGGTCCTGGTCCTGGTCCTGGTCCTGGTCCTGGTTCTGGTCCTGGTCCTGGTTCTGGTCCTGGTCCTGGTTCAGAATCTCAGAGTTTGATTAAAGATAGAGACTTATAACTTCTTATGATGATAATTCTGTGCAGCTCATTTATCTTGGAGCGGTCTCTGCTCTGATCTGGTTTTGACTTTTGGTTGTTTTTTTCTCTTAATTTACAAAACTCCAAAGTCATACACATTCAAATGTCTAAAATGTAAAAGGTGTTTTGTAAAAGGGAAGTCCAGGAAGCTGCGATAGCTTCTCAGATACAGATTCAGATTCAGATTCAGATTCAGATTCAGATTCAGATTCAGATTCAGATTACTTTATCCCCCCAGGGGCAATTTGAGCAGCACATAAAGAATCTAAAATAAAAATAGATAACATAAAAACACAGGAAATGAGTGACAAGACATCGCCCATGCTGGACTCGGTCTGGACTCGGTCTGGACTCGGTCTGGACTCGGTCTGGACTCGGTCTGGACTCGGTCTGGACTCGGTCTGGACTCGGTCTGGACACGGTCTGGACCATAGACTGTATATATTAACGGACAGAGTCACGCCTATCTCCGCCGTTCTAAATAATGGGCCAAAAATAGTGCTCTTCTGGAGCTATCCAAAATGGCCGCGAGTGGTCCCGCCCACAAGAAAATTGTGAAAAAACACATCTGCGTCAGCCGGCGAGAGCTCCATTCATTTAAACGAGAGACTTCTAAAGTCCACAGCGACTAAACTAGACTGGTCCAGAACACTCAGCATTGACACACATGTGGAACAGAGCTTTGGACCAAGAAACAACTTTTGGACCATCCTGTAAAGACGTTTTCCAGAGGTAAGAAGATGCTATATGTTAGCATTGGCTAATTCTTATTCTGGGTCCACCCCCACAGGCCCGGGGTGGTATTGCAGCATGTCAGGGTCCACCCCCACAGGCCCGGGGTGGTACTGCAGCAGGTCAGCGCACGTCATTTTGGACACTTTTGAGCCGTAACCCGTCCACACTGGTCTGGACTCACTCTGGACACAGCAGTGGCACAGCTCAGTCCTGCCAGCTCCATCAGCTGATCCACACTGAACCCAAACTCAGAGAAAAGGTCCTGGTCGATCTGCTGAGCCTCGGCCTGACTGAGACACACACACACACACACACACACACACACACACACACACACAGACACACACACGCACACACGCACACACACACACACACACACACACACACACACACACACAGACACACACACACACACACACACACACACACACACACAGACACACACACACACACACACACACACACACACACACACACACACACACACACACACACACACACACACACACACACACACACACACACACACACACACACACACACACACACACACACACAGACACAGACACAGACACACACACACACACACACACACACACACACACACACACACACACACACACACACACACACACACACACACACAGACACACACACACACACACACACACACACACACACACACACAGACACACACACATTAGGTTGCAGGTAACATGATTCCTGTTTGCTTGTCATGGTTTTCATCATGAACCAGTCACTGGTGATTGACAGAATATTTATGATCAAAAACAGCTCCATTTTGCTGAGGGCGAAAAACCTGCTCAACGTCAAATACTGTGTTTATGAGACTTTAGCAACAACTGAACATGTGACAGGAACCACATCCACCAACAACAGCTCTGAACTGGACTGTCTCACTCTGGTCTCACTCTGGTCTCACTCTGGTCTCACTCTGGTCTCACTCTGGTCTCACTCTGGTCTCACTCTGGTCTCACTCTGGTCTCTCTCTCTGGTCTCTCTCTGGTCTCTCTCTGGTCTCTCTCTCTGGTCTCTCTCTCTGGTCTCTCTCTCTGGTCTCTCTCTCTGGTCTCTCTCTCTGGTCTCTCTCTGGTCTCTCTCTGGTCTCTCTCTGGTCTCTCTCTGGTCTCTCTCTCTGGTCTCTCTCTGGTCTCTCTCTGGTCTCTCTCTCTGGTCTCTCTCTGGTCTCACGCTGGTCTCTCTCTGGTCTCACTCTGGTCTCTCTCTGGTCTCTCTCTGGTCTCTCTCTGGTCTCTCTCTGGTCTCTCTCTGGTCTCTCTCTGGTCTCTCTCTCTGGTCTCTCTCTGGTCTCTCTCTGGTCTCTCTCTCTGGTCTCTCTCTGGTCTCTCTCTGGTCTCTCTCTGGTCTCTCTCTCTGGTCTCTCTCTGGTCTCTCTCTGGTCTCTCTCTGGTCTCTCTCTGGTCTCTCTCTCTGGTCTCCCTCTGGTCTCCCTCTGGTCTCTCTCTGGTCTCTCTCTGGTCTCTCTCTGGTCTCCCTCTGGTCTCTCTCTGGTCTCCTTCTGGTCATGTATTGACTGCTTCTTTTGAGTTGAACGAGTTGAAACAGATAAAAACTTGGACAAAGACTCTATAGATTCTTCTGGATGAGGATCAGGCCAAAGCTACTGAACAGGTCCAGCCTTTGTGCTTCTTACCCGAGATACTTGATGTTCTGAGTCATGGTGGAGAGAGGTCTGCTGCCGAGGGAGTCACAACCAGAGGTCAGCGTACATGTCCCAGGCACAGAGAGGACCGTGGAGACCCGAGAGGACACCAGGAAGCCGACCCCAAACCAGGCACGGACACTCCACATTCAGCAGGCTCCGGGGGCTCCTGGAGGATACAGGGAGGTCAATAAACATAACGCATGTACAAATATGTACTCTGAATACTTTTACAGTGGCACTAAATACTCCAAAAAATGTCCTCTTTTTATATAAATGGTCAAATATACATAGTGCTTTTCCACCTTTTCCATTCATTCCAGGCGCTTCACCTCACACACACAAACACCAGAACACAGACTTTGGGGGGAGAGGTGTGGGAAGTGTCTTGCCCAATAACACTCGGCTGCCATCCCCACAGGAGCTGGTTTTACATGTTTTAGTGCTTTACTAATTTGCAATGGAGCAGACTGACAGCTTTTTGTATCAATAAAGGACTGAATATTATTTCTCTCATCCACAGTCCATGATCTCTATCTGGTCTCCAGTCGTTAGGGTTCTTGCATTTCTGTTTAGTAAAAGTCGTTTAATTATAATGAGGTGGAAAAATGAATAAGAAAAGCCACTTGGTTCAAAGTTACGTTTGAGCTTCATCTCAAATATGACATGTCTCGCTCTAACTACATTTTCCAACTATGACATGATTATTATTAATATTATTATTATTATTATTAAAGTCCAAATCAAGCTGAAACACGTGTGCAGTCATCAAGCAATTCTGAACGTAAATTCTATTTTAAAAAACGTTATAACCGAAAAACACGGTAAAAATAAACGCGAAACACGACTTACTGCTGTTATAATAGATCCGTGATACTTCCGGCTGCTCCTGCTGCTTGTTGACATCTACTTCCGGCTTCGGAAGAAAACCCGTTTTGAGAATTTTCAAATTAAAATGTCCACTTTGTTGCATTATAATCGATAGTGTGGTTATGTTTTAAAGCTGCATTACACGTAGATGTTTTGAGTTATACTATTTTACTGTTTAATTAATTATCTAAAACATACGTTCGTTTATTTCTCTTTTTGTTTTATTTATTAATGTTTTTATTGTGAATCCTGCACACTGTTAGAGCGAGGTAAACCCATGGATGTATTATATTAACTGGATAGGGTATTACTAGCTTGTAGCTGAATAACTCATGTGCTCAGGGGATTCTCGCGGTACTGCAGACTGAACCAGACTGAACCAGACTGAACCAGACTAAATTCACGTGGGCTACCCAGAAATTTTCCCCATAGAACTCAATGCATATTAAAACAGCTCAACCTCAGCTGACAGAGAACCTGACAGAGAACCTACAGCTTTCATAAAGGTCAGATTTTGTGGGGATGTTAGTGTCCCTTGTCGTCCTGAACTTTTTTTCTTCTTAAATCCTTCGGTTTTGTTTAAATCCACACTTTAGTGCCACAAACTCTGCTCGTCTGGCTCTCGCTCTAACTCCCGCTCTGATGAACTGCTCTGATTGGTCAGAGCCGAGCCCCTCTGTGCACGTGCGTGAGACCCTCTGTGCACGTGCATGAGACCCTCTGTGCACGTGCGTGAGACCCTCTGTGCACGTGCGTGAGACCCGGTGTGAGACCCACACACGCGTGTTTGGCGCAACGCATTATGGGAGATCATCCACTGCACAGAACCAGGAGGACCAGACGATGCCCAAATACAGGAGAGTTTCCCATAGATCTTTGCGAGTTTCAGGCGACTTCCGCTAATCTTTCAGCCCCCATGCCGTCACAAAGCGCCACTGAGCACAACCATTCATTTGAATAGGGCGCCATCTTGGATCGCCGGGGCTTGGGTAAACCCCCATTGGATACATTACATACGTTTGTTTTATTTTATTTTCAAAGATTTGAGATCCATGGACGTGACGTGTATTTCACATAAACTGTATATAAGTATTTCAGGGCAAGTGCGCCCTCTAGCGGTTATTACGCGAGAGTGCATTTTGAGTTTAAATAAATGACTTATAGTAACAGATAGTAATAATAGAAGTAGTACCATTAATGAGATTAGTAGTAGTAGTAATAGTCACAGTGGTTGTAGTTACAGTAGTAGTAGTTGTAGAAGTCGTAGTAATAGTAGTGGTAGTAAAAGTAATAGTAGTAGTAGAATAATAATTCACATGGAAACTAGTCGTACAAGACAAAACTTTATTGATACAAAAATACAGTAAACAAACGGTGATGTTTTTTTCACTTCATCAAACGTGACCATCACCTGGAGTCAGTCTCGACAAAAACACAACAAAGAGAAATGCATAAAAAAAAGTACAAAACACGTCTTTCAAATTCATTTATTTCATTTTTCTTGTTTATTTAAACTGAGGCTAAATAGTGGTTTAATAAAGCTTGTAATGTGTGGGTTAATAAAAGCATAAATGTCATTAATGTTTACAAAAGTGGATAAAAGCAACAAAGGCTGATCTACGATAAACAAGTATTAAAATTAACTGATAAATGCAAAAGATAAAAAGAAATAAAGAGGAGCTGGTCATCGCTAGCATCGGTCGCGGCGGCGCTAGCATCGGTCGCGGCGCTCACATGATCGGGCAAGTTTCCAGTTTGTTCTGAAAAACAGCAACATTTGTCAACATCTTATAAATACAAGATAAATACAAAAAATTAAAAACAAAAAAACACAAGCAAAGTTGAATAGATGGTAAATTGGTGTCATGTCCGATTAGCCCTGCTTCTAAAATAAGGTAATAGCAGCAGAGACAAGTTGTTTTTCTGGTATCTGTATTTATTCTAATTATTCTGAACACTTGTTATTGTCCTACTGTTAAATTCACATAACTATGGTTCTACTCAAAATGGATTCGTGAAGTGGTTAGCTATGCTTCTAAGTTTGGCATTGAGCTGAATATACTGCTCTTATACAAGTATTATTTGTTGTCATAATTAGAAACACTTTTACAAACTCTATAACGATGATTGAAATCCTTCACTTTTGTCTAAAACAGACAAATATATACATATATTATAATACATTTATACTCTATCATCTATACTTAGTATGTAAGTACTACTGCACAATAGTATTAAACTTTACAAAAGATTATAAGGTCAAGAACTCAGGTAAAAACAGATTATTAGTGTTGTTAGAAACGTTAAAGGGGAACTGTCCTGCTGGTGTGGGAGCTGTACCTTGCGGGGGCTGCTGGTGCTGACCATGTAGGACTGGGGCAGCAGAGCCTCAGAGAGGCCCCCGGACCTGAAGGAGCGAGAGGCCGAGGAGACGCTGCAGGAGCCGGGTTTGTCGGAAGGAAGGCCACACGAGCCACACACCACCGTCCGACTGCGGAGGTTATACTCGCCATCGCTGCAGGTGCTGTGGGCCACCTGCTGAGGACGGAGGGTGGAGGTCAGAGGGCGGCGGTCAGAGGTCAGAGGGCGGCGGTCAGAGGGCGGCGGTCAGAGGGCGGAGGTCAGAGGGCAGAGGTCAGAGGGCGGAGGTCAGAGGGCGGCGGTCAGAGGGCGGCGGTCAGAGGTCAGAGGGCGGAGGGCAGCGGTCAGAGGTCAGAGGGCGGAGGTCGGAGGGCGGAGGTCGGAGGGCGGAGGTCGGAGGGCGGCGGTCGGAGGGCGGCGGTCAGAGGTCAGAGGGCGGAGGGCAGAGGTCAGAGGGCGGAGGTCAGAAGTCAGAGGGCGGAGGTCAGAGGGCGGCGGTCAGAGGTCAAAGGGCGGAGGTCAGAGGGCAGAGGTTAGGGGGTGGATGTCAGGGGGCGGAGGGAAGAGGGCAGAGGGCGGAGGTCAGAGGTCAGAGGGCGGAGGGCAATAAATCAACTTTAATTCATATAGGGCGATAAAATACATGTTCTTGATCTGCCAACCAGCACACACAGAGAAACACCATCAAACACCAGCACACACAGAGAAACACCATCAAACACCAGCACACACAGAGAAACACCATCAAACACCAGCACACACAGAGAAACACCATCAAACACCAGCACACACAGAGAAACACCAGCACACACAGAGAAACACCAGCACACACAGAGAAACACCAGCACACACAGAGGAACACCAGCACACACAGAGAAACACCAGCACACACAGAGAAACACCAGCACACACAGAGAAACACCAGCACACACAGAGAAACAGCACACACAGAGAGAAACACCAGCACACACAGAGAAAGAACCCCCACACAGAGGAACACATCAACACCAGCACACACAGAGAACACAGCACACACAGAGAACACCATCAAACACCAGCACACACAGAAACACCAGCACACACAGAGAAACACCAGCACACACAGACAAACACCAGCACACACAGAGAAACACCAGACACACAGAGGAACACCAGCACACACAGAGAACACCACCACACAGAGAAACACCACACACACAGAGGAACACCAGCACACACAGAGAAACACCAGCACACACAGAGAAACACCAGCACACACAGAGAAACACCAGCACACACAGAGGAACACCATCAAACACCAGCACACACAGAGAAACACCAGCACACACAGAGGAACACCATCAAACACCAGCACACACAGAGAAACACCAGCACACACAGAGAAACACCAGCACACACAGACAAACACCAGCACACACAGAGAAACACCAGCACACACAGAGGAACACCATCAAACACCAGCACACACAGAGAAACACCAGCACACACAGAGGAACACCATCAAACACCAGCACACACAGAGAAACACCAGCACACACAGAGAAACACCAGCACACACAGACAAACACCAGCACACACAGACAAACACCAGCACACACAGACAAACACCAGCACACACAGACAAACACCAGCACACACAGACACCATCAAAGCTCTCTCATTGTTTTGCTTCCTCTGTAACTCACCATGTCGTCCTCGTCCTCCTCGATCGTGGTGCGCGTCACTTTCCTCATGGCCATTTCCTGAAAGCACAAACACATGAAGATGAAACACGTGGACACAGTGGAGTCTCCCATCCACACTTCCCGGTCACGCACCTCTCCGCTGGCGCTGATCAGAGTGGTCTGGAACATGTCCCCGGTCCCCCAGATGGACTGGTTCTTCCACACCAGGTCTGAGGGAGGGTTATGGGCCACGCCGGCTCCAGACGCCCAGATCTGGGTCAAAAACACAACATTACCACCGGCAGCAGAGAGGGGGCAGCAGAGAGGGGGCAGCAGAGAACAGCAGAGAGGGGGCAGCAGAGAGGGGCAGCAGAGAGGGGCAGAGAGGGGCAGCAGAGAGGGGCAGAGAGGGGGCAGCAGAGAGGGCAGCAGAGAGGGGCAGAGAGGGGCAGCAGAGAGGGGCAGAGAGGGGGCAGCAGAGAGGGCAGCAGAGGGGGCAGAGAGGGGCAGCAGAGAGGGGCAGAGAGGGGCAGCAGAGAGGGGGCAGCAGAGAGGGGGCAGCAGAGAAGGGCAGAGAGGGGGCAGCAGAGAGGGGCAGAGAGGGGGCAGCAGAGAACAGCAGAGAGGGGCAGAGAGGGGCAGAGAGCAGCAGAGAGGGGGCAGCAGAGAGGGGCAGAGAGGGGGCAGCAGAGAACAGCAGAGAGGGGCAGAGAGGGGCAGAGAGCAGCAGAGAGGGGGCAGCAGAGAGGGGCAGAGAGGGGCAGAGAGGGGGCAGCAGAGAGGGGCAGCAGAGAGGGGGCAGCAGAGAGGGGGCAGCAGAGAGGGGCAGAGAGGGGGCAGCAGAGAGGGGCAGAGAGGGGCAGAGAGGGGGCAGCAGAGAGGGGCAGAGAGGGGCAGCAGAGAGGGGGCAGCAGAGAGGGGCAGAGAGGGGGCAGCAGAGAACAGCAGAGAGGGGCAGAGAGGGGCAGAGAGCAGCAGAGAGGGGGCAGCAGAGAGGGGGCAGCAGAGAGGGGCAGAGAGCAGCAGAGAGGGGGCAGCAGAGAGGGGCAGAGAGGGGCAGAGAGCAGCAGAGAGGGGGCAGCAGAGAGGGGCAGAGAGGGGCAGAGAGCAGCAAGGTAAAAATAAGTGTATTTGATCTTCTACTTTCACATAAAATGATAGATTTTAAAGAAGAGAAAAAGGTTTGCTTTAATGTGACATGAAACATTAATTATTATAATTATTCAGAATCTTTGAAACGTCATAATGGATCTGAAACTGCATCATTAAAGATATTTACTCAGTCAATACAAAATTGATAAAGTGGGCAGAGGTCAGAGGGAAGAGGGAGATGGTTAGGGGGAGGAGGTCAGAGGGGAGAGGGAGATGGTTAGGGGGAGGAGGTCAGAGGGGAGAGGGAGATGGTTAGGGGGAGGAGGTCAGAGGGGAGAGGGAGATGGTTAGGGGGAGGAGGTCAGAGGGGCTCCTCTCACCGTGACTCTCTGTCCGGCCTTCAGGGTGAACTTTGCAGGAAACTTGAAGGTGATGGAGGCTCCGTTCCCGACCTGACGCTTCAGCTGCCAGTTCCCCAGGTTCTGATCCTGAGGAAGAGAGGAGACGTGAGTGACAGATGTGTCTCAGAGAAACTGAGGCTGTAGACCCAGGACCGAGGCTGTAGACCCAGGACCGAGGCTGTAGACCCAGGACCGAGGCTGTAGACCCAGGACTGAGGCTGTAGATCCAGGACTGAGGCTGTAGACCCAGGACTGAGGCTGTAGACCCAGGACCGAGGCTGTAGACCCAGGACTGAGGCTGTAGACCCAGGACCGAGGCTGTAGACCCAGGACTGGGAGGACTGAGGCTGTAGACCCAGGACTGAGGCTGTAGACCCAGGACTGAGGCTGGAGACCCAGAACTGAGGCTGTAGAACCAGGACTGAGGCTGTAGACCCAGGACTGAGGCTGTAGACCCCGGACTGAGGCTGTAGACCCAGGACTGAGGCTGTAGACCCAGAACTGAGGCTGTAGAACCAGGACTGAGGCTGTAGACCCAGGACTGAGGCTGTAGATCCAGGACTGAGGCTGTAGACCCAGGACTGAGGCTGTAGACCCAGAACTGAGGCTGTAGAACCAGGACTGAGGCTGTAGACCCAGGACTGAGGCTGTAGATCCAGGACTGAGGCTGTAGACCCAGGACTGAGGCTGTAGACCCAGGACTGAGGCTGTAGACCCAGGACTGAGGCTGTAGACCCAGGACTCTTACCTCGTCTGCCTTGTTGCTGAGCCTCACGTACTTCCCCTCGGGGTCGACCTCGTCCACGGTGACGCGGCCGCTGGCGGAGGCCTGCTGCGTGACCCTAGTGCGGGACACGGCGCCGCTGAAGCTGGCCTCGCTGTCCGTGTCGTTGCCGCGGCGACGCTTCACCCCAGAGCTCTGCAGCGAGCGTGAGTGAGCGGAGGACGTGCGACTGCCGGACACTCGCACCGCGGGGGGAGGACTGGGAGACAGACGCAGCCTGGGGACAGGGCGGGGGTCACAACAGACTGGGATCAACAACTATATCCCAACATTATCTATGTCATCTGCTGCCAATGATGTCTGCTGCCTGTGTGTCCCTGAGCAAGACACTTACCCCCAATTATAATAATAATAATGATAGAATAACTGTAGTACATTAGAAAAGGGTTTGGGATTCTCCTTTTTTCTCTTACGTTCACTTTAAACATTCATTTCTTCATCTAAGTCTGTGTGTGTGTGTGTCTGTGTGTGTGTGTCTGTGTGTGTGTGTGTGTGTGTGTCTGTGTGTATGTGTCTGTGTGTGTGTGTGTGTGTCTGTGTGTGTGTGTCTGTGTGTGTGTCTTTGTGTGTGTGTGTGTGTGTGTGTGTGTTGTCTGTGTGTGTGTGTGTGTGTGTGTGTCTGTGTGTGTGTCTGTGTGTGTCTGTGTCTGTGTGTGTGTCTGTGTCTGTGTGTGTGTCTGTGTATGTGTGAATGTGTCTGTGTCTGTGTGTGTGTGTGTCTGTGTGTGTGTGTGTGTGTGTGTCTGTGTGTGTGTGTGTCTGTGTGTGTGTGTGTTGGTCTGTCTGTGTGTGTGTCTGTGTCTGTGTGTGTGTGTGTGTGTGTTGGTCTGTCTGTGTGTGTGTCTGTGTGTGTGTGTGTCTGTCTGTGTGTGTGTGTCTGTGTGTATGTGTGTGTGTGACTGTGTGTGTCTGTGTGTGTCTGTGTGTGTCACCTCTCCTCCTCTCCCTCCAGCAGCTTCCTGTAGGCAGAGATCTCCATGTCCAGAGCCAGTTTGACGTCCAGCAGCTCCTGGTACTCGTCGAGCTGCTGCTGCATCCTGGCTCTCATCTCGCTCATCTCTCGGTCCTTCTCCCCGAGCAGACGCCTGCTGCTGTCACGCTCCCGGGACAGACTCTCCTCCAGCTCCCGAATCTTTGCCTCTCGAGCTGCCAGCTGCAAACACACACAGACACACACACATACAGACACACACACACATACACGTACACACACACACAGACACACACAGACACACACAGACACACACACATACACGTACACACACACACGTACACGTACACACACACAGACACACACACACGTTAAAGAAGAAATATGTAAGATTTTCATGTCATCATTAAAGGGCCCTAATCTGTCATCATTAAAGGGCCCTAATCTGTCATCATTAAAGGGCCCTAATCTGTCCTCATTAAAGGGCCCTAATCTGTCATCATTAAAGGGCCCTAATCTGTCATCATTAAAGGGCCCTAATCTGTCATCATTAAAGGGCCCTAATCTGTCCTCATTAAAGGGCCCTAATCTGTCCTCATTAAAGAGCCCTAATCTGTCCTCATTAAAGGGCCCTAATCTGTCATCATTAAAGGGCCCTAATCTGTCATCATTAAAGGGCCCTAATCTGTCATCATTAAAGGGCCCTAATCTGTCATCATTAAAGGGCCCTAATCTGTCCTCATTAAAGGGCCCTAATCTGTCATCATTAAAGGGCCCTAATCTGTCATCATTAAAGGGCCCTAATCTGTCATCATTAAAGGGCCCTAATCTGTCCTCATTAAAGGGCCCTAATCTGTCCTCATTAAAGAGCCCTAATCTGTCCTCATTAAAGGGCCCTAATCTGTCATCATTAAAGGGCCCTAATCTGTCATCATTAAAGGGCCCTAATCTGTCATCATTAAAGGGCCCTAATCTGTCATCATTAAAGGGCCCTAATCTGTCATCATTAAAGGGCCCTAATCTGTTGTCATTAAAGGGCCCTAATCTGTCCCATGTGGCGCAGAACTAAAAAAGGTCTCGTTATGATTCTCAAATCATTAACGACAAAACAAGGAATACAACCAGGATTTCTATCTTTGTGAAAAAGGTGTTGGTTATAGATTTGTTGTTGACTAAACTCTTGTCTATTCAGCTGTTATGGTCCCAGCTGGATTCGTCTGCATATCTGGCAACCTGAGTCAGGGAGAGTGGGAGAGGCTGCAGTACCACTTTGGGCCACATGTTTACAGACTGCTCCTTTAAAGATGTTGCATCATTGTTACAGTAGATAAATGAACAATACCTTTATACTAAGATTAAAACAAATCTTTTGCTTTAGCATAAAAAGAAGTAAATCTAAAATCTCCAACTTTAGTCGAACAAAGCACAAGAATTGAGTACATAATCTCCGACTCTAAATCTCTAAACACCAAAGTTATAACAATAAAAACCACTGCTTTATATGAAAACGATTCCAAATCTATCATCAATAAAAGCAAATATATCAATAATAGGTAGACTTCATAAACCCTGGAACGTCCTTGGACATTTGTAGAATGTTATGTTATGGTATAAATGTGTCACGGTGGTTTCCATGGCGACGTCAGTAACAATAGCTGCCACTTCCTGAAGATAGTAAATATATAATAAATGAGTCATTCTCTGCGGGATACAGCGGAAAACTACTCATTACAGAAGAACGCTTTAATCTGAGCAAACAACATTTACACTATTCTGCTTCATTATTTTAGATTTAGTTCATATTTAACATGAACATCTGTACTTTAGAGACAGTTGACATTTAGATCATAGTTCAGAGGTTATGAATGACAAAACAAACTCTCATTGTTAGTGAAGTTACGGTTAAATATATTTTCAAATTAAAACAACCTCAGAAACTTCTCTTCTGCTCTCGATCAGAAGTCTCCATCCCCCAGGAGCCTGTATTTCCCCTTTAACGAGTCTTTTGTGGTAGATTTGGAGACACTTCTTTCTCTGACGATAAAGCCTCTTGTTCTTATAAATTCCTGGGTTGCCTTGCCTGAGCGTCACATTTGAGATCAGCTTCATGATATTATACATTGAAAATATACAATTGCTATGTATGGATTCACACAAACAATAACCAGCAGGGGGCGTTTGTGTCGTGACTATTATTATTATTCATCTTTATGGTTCATGGTTTTTATATTTACAGACGTGTTCAATGAACCAAGAGGAGGGATGTATTGTAGCAGGTTTTAGCAGCAGTGCTAATTTTCACCTGTCGTCCCTGAGCAGGAAGTTGTGAAACCAGAAACTTTAAGAAAACATTTTCAGATAGAAACTACAATTTAATTTACCACAAGTTAAAATGGGGACAGTGCACAGAGACACAGATGTGTTTTGTTCTTATTCTCCAAAATAATGAAACCCTCGGTGCAAAGCGGTGTCAGACCAGTCCTGAAAGGTTTTCATTCCAACCAAGCAGGAGCACAGCAGACTCCACCCACTTCCTCAGGTGAGTCCAGTCTGAACCTGGAGACTTGAGGTAATGGGTGGAGTCTGGTGTGTGCTTCTGCGTAGTTGGAATGAAAACCTGCAGCCACAGCGGCCCTTTCTGGTCCCTGTCCCCCTAGTCCCAGTCTGCCCCCCTGGTCCCAGTCTGCCCCCCTGGTCCCAGCCTGAGCCCCCTGGGCCCCCCCCTGGTCATGGTCTACCCCCCGGTCCCGGTCCAGAACCCTCACCTGCTTCTGGAGCTGGCTGAGCTGAGCCGAGCAGGACTCGAGTCTGACTCTGGTCTGCTGCAGTTCTTCATGAGTGGCTCCGACCAGATGACTGCTCCTGTCGGCCGACTGACGGGCATTCTCCAGCTGTACCAGGTGAAATACCAGGTGAGAGGTGAGACACCAGGTTAAACATGTAAGATAGAGTTTATTGATCTCTGATGGAGAAATGCACATGTGACATCATGGACAGAATCACTCAGATTGTGCAAAAGACAGAAATGTTAAATGCAGGATATATATATATATACAATAAAAGTGGCACTACTGTTGCCAATCAAAGAAACAGAGGCAACAGTAGTGCAGGTATTTTTTTTTTTTTTTTGTCCTAGTGCAAGTGGCTTGAAGTGACTTATTGTACAGTCTGACAGCGGTGGGGATTTTTTGCCAAATTGGATTGAATTGAAAACCACTGCCCTCCAGGGAACAATATTGTAAAATCATGTATAATTAAAGTGGTTCTCACCCCCGCTCCTCGGAGCTTACGTCACTCACATTTCCTGTTCAAACCTTCCTCTAAATGGGCGTGGCCGGGAGGACTAAAGGGGGCGTGAACGAGACTGGGCCGTTTATATAGCTCTGGGCGGGGGGCTGCTGACGTCAGGTCTTGCTTCAGACGTCAGGTCTTGCTTCAGACGTCAGGTCTTGCTTCAGACGTCAGGTCTTGCTTCAGACGTCAGGTCTTGCTTCAGACGTCAGGTCTTGCTTCAGACGTCAGGTCTTGCTTCAGACGTCAGGTCTTGCTTCAGACGTCAGGTCTTGCTTCAGACGTCAGGTCTTGCTTCAGACGTCAGGTCTTGCTTCAGACGTCAGGTCTTGCTTCAGACGTCAGGTCTCGCTTCAGACGTCAGGTCTTGCTGCAGACGTCAGGTCTTGCTTCAGACGTCAGGTCTTGCTTCAGACGTCAGGTCTTGCTTCAGACGTCAGGTCTTGCTTCAGACGTCAGGTCTTGCTGCAGACGTCAGGTCTCGCTTCAGACGTCAGGTCTTGCTGCAGACGTCAGGTCTTGCTTCAGACGTCAGGTCTTGCTTCAGACGTCAGGTCCTGCTTCAGACGTCAGGTCTTGCTTCAGACGTCAGGTCTTGCTTCAGACGTCAGGTCCTGCTTCAGACGTCAGGTCTTGCTGCAGACGTCAGGTCTTGCTTCAGACGTCAGGTCCTGCTTCAGACGTCAGGTCTTGCTTCAGACGTCAGGTCTTGCTTCAGACGTCAGGTCCTGCTTCAGACGTCAGGTCTTGCTTCAGACGTCAGGTCCTGCTTCAGACGTCAGGTCTTGCTTCAGACGTCAGGTCTTGCTTCAGACGTCAGGTCTTGCTTCAGACGTCAGGTCTTGCTGCAGACGTCAGGTCCTGCTTCAGACGTCAGGTCTTGCTGCAGACGTCAGGTCCTGCTTCAGACGTCAGGTCTTGCTTCAGACGTCAGGTCTTGCTTCAGACGTCAGGTCTTGCTTCAGACGTCAGGTCTTGCTTCAGACGTCAGGTCCTGCTTCAGACGTCAGGTCTTGCTGCAGACGTCAGGTCCTGCTTCAGACGTCAGGTCTTGCTTCAGACGTCAGGTCTTGCTTCAGACGTCAGGTCTTGCTTCAGACGTCAGGTCTTGCTTCAGACGTCAGGTCCTGCTTCAGACGTCAGGTCTTGCTTCAGACGTCAGGTCTTGCTTCAGACGTCAGGTCTTGCTTCAGACGTCAGGTCCTGCTTCAGACGTCAGGTCTTGCTTCAGACGTCAGGTCTTGCTTCAGACGTCAGGTCTTGCTTCAGACGTCAGGTCTTGCTTCAGACGTCAGGTCCTGCTTCAGACGTCAGGTCTTGCTTCAGACGTCAGGTCTTGCTTCAGACGTCAGGTCTTGCTTCAGACGTCAGGTCTTGCTGCAGACGTCAGGTCTTGCTTCAGACGTCAGGTCTTGCTTCAGACGTCAGGTCTTGCTTCAGACGTCAGGTCCTGCTTCAGACGTCAGGTCCTGCTTCAGACGTCAGGTCTTGCTTCAGACGTCAGGTCTTGCTGCCGCGCCAGTGTTGGCGCCAGATTCAAAATTCAAATGTAGTAACACAGGTCGCCAGCAGATGGCGTCTCACAGACGGTTTTAGGCAGAAAGTTTAACTTTCAACTAATTTGCACCAAAGTGAAAAAATTATGACCAGGATATGTAGACAACACTTTGGACACTCATTTATACCGTTTATCAGCAAAAAAAAGTGGATTTGAGGGTGAGTTGTCCTTCAAGTGATTTGTTATTAATCAAAAATCAACATTCATTCATCCATTCAGATGATTAAAAGTCCATTGGATTTGAATGAATTTCCAAACAGGTGAATATTGCGTGCTCTGGCGGCCCACCTCAGCCCAAACAGGTGAATATTGCGTGCTCTGGCGGCCCACCTCGGCCCAAACAGGTGAATATTGCGTGCTCTGGCGGCCCACCTTGGCCCAAACAGGTGAATATTGCGTGCTCTGGCGGCCCACCTCAGCCCAAACAGGTGAATATTGCGTGCTCTGGCGGCCCACCTCAGCCCAAACAGGTGAATATTGCGTGCTCTGGCGGCCCACCTCAGCCCAAACAGGTGAATATTGCGTGCTCTGGCGGCCCACCTCAGCCCAAACAGGTGAATATTGCGTGCTCTGGGCGGCCCACCTTGGCGTTGTAGGTCTTCTCCACCTCCTCCTTGTACAGTTTGATCTGGAGGTCGTGCTGACTCCGCATCTCGGCCAAAGCCTCGCTCAGTTTACTCTCGAAGTCCTGCTGCTGTCCGGAGTCCACCTCCACCATCCGGGACTCGTGACGCCGCTTCGTCTCCCGCAGCTCCTGCAGGACACACACGACACACACATTACACACTTTACAGTACGACACACAATGGGCCTGTATAGAGACAAAGGAACACTCTTTGTGAAGCACAGTTCAAACCGTAAACAGGTGAAACTCAGAAAATCAGTAATTGTTGAAAAGTTCATTTACTTCAGTAATTCACCTCAATGTGAAAGTAACACACGACAACCCCCTAACCCCCACGAGATACACACCTGTTCACAACATGTGTACTGTTTGCACATTTCCTGTTTAATTGCACATGGACTGTTCCAACCTCTCCCCTCTCACCTGCACATGGACTATTCCAACCTCTCCCCTCTCACCTGTACATGGACTATTCCAACCTCTCCCCTCTCACCTGCACATGGACTATTCCAACCACTCCCCTCTCACCTGCACATGGACTGTTCCAACCTCTCCCCTCTCACCTGCACATGGACTATTCCAACCACTCCCCTCTCACCTGCACATGGACTATTCCAACCTCTCCCCTCTCACCTGCACATGGACTATTCCAACCTCTCCCCTCGGGCAGGAGACTACGGTCCATCAGGACCAGAACCACTGACCTCTGACCTCTGACCTTATGACCGTCACTTTATGCTACTGTCCTTTGATTTTTTTCTGCTTTAACTTGTTTGCACCGAGAGCCAAAGACATTTCCTGGTTTGTGACTTCCTGTTATTCACATGGAAATAAAAGGATTCTGATTCTGATTCTTCTGGTTCTGACCCTGACCCTGAGTGTGCTCCTTCACCTCTGACAGGATGTTCTTCTGAAACTCCAGCTCCTCTTTCAGAGTCTGGATGCGGTTTTCTCCATCGACTCTGCGCAGCATCTCGTCCTGAAGCTGCTTCCGAGCCTCCTGCAGACTGCTGTCCAGCTGCAACACACACACACACACAGACGCACGCACACACACGCACACACACACAGACACACACACACACAGACGCACACAGACACACACACACACACAGACGCACGCACACAGACACACACACACACACAGACGCACGCACACACACGCACACACACACACACACAGACACACACACACAGACGCACACAGACACACACACACACACACAGACGCACGCACACAGACACACACACACACACACACACAGACACACACACACAGACGCACACACACACAGACGCACACACACACACACACACACACACACACACACACAGACACACACACACAGACGCACACACACACACACACACACACACAGACGCACGCACACACACGCACACACACACACACACAGACACACACACACAGATGCACACAGACACACACACACACACACAGACGCACGCACACACACACACACACAGACACACACACACACAGACACACACACACACACACAGACGCATGCACGCACGCACACACACAGACACACACACACAGACACACACACACACACCAGGATTTAGATTCACTGCTGCAGGAAACTCAATCAAAGCCTCGTCACGCAAACCTCTGAGAAGTTCAGATACTTTTTTCTAAGGAGGAGAAAATGTCTTCCAGATCTGTGTAATATTCAGGGTAAAGTTGTGCCAGTGCAGACCGCGGAGCAGGAAGAGCAGGACCGCACATTCCACTGTTCGTATAAACCGGCATCATGAGTCACAAACATAGACAATTGTGAATGAAAAAAAAGGAATCAAAGCAGATCAAATCCAGACGCTCTCAGCAAGTTTAAAACAGCCTTTTCCTAAACACAGGTCGCTGCTGGACAGAAGAGGCTCGGAGAGAAGAGGCTCGGAGAGAAGAGGCTCGGACAGAAGAGGCTCGGAGAGAAGAGGCTCGGACAGAAGAGGCTCGGACAGAAGAGGCTCGGAGAGAAGAGGCTCGGAGAGAAGAGGCTCGGAGAGAAGAGGCTCGGACAGAAGAGGCTCGGAGAGAAGAGGCTCGGAGAGAAGAGGCTCGGACAGAAGAGGCTCGGACAGAAGAGGCTCGGACAGAAGAGGCTCGGACAGAAGAGGCTCGGACAGAAGAGGCTCGGACAGAAGAGGCTCGGAGAGAAGAGGCTCGGAGAGAAGAGGCTCGGACAGAAGAGGCTCGGACAGAAGAGGCTCGGACAGAAGAGGCTCGGAGAGAAGAGGCTCGGACAGAAGAGGCTCGGACAGAAGAGGCTCGGACAGAAGAGGCTCGGACAGAAGAGGCTCGGACAGAAGAGGCTCGGACAGAAGAGGCTCGGAGAGAAGAGGCTCGGTCGGACAGAAGAGGCTCGGTCGGACAGAAGAGGCTCGGAGAGAAGAGGCTCGGAGAGAAGAGGCTCGGAGAGAAGAGGCTCGGACAGAATAGGCTCGGACAGAAGAGGCTCGGAGAGAAGAGGCTCGGTCGGACAGAAGAGGCTCGGTCGGACAGAAGAGGCTCGGAGAGAAGAGGCTCGGACAGAAGAGGCTCGGTCGGACAGAAGAGGCTCGGAGAGAAGAGGCTCGGAGAGAAGAGGCTCGGACAGAAGAGGCTCGGAGAGAAGAGGCTCGCAGAGAAGAGGCTCGGAGAGAAGAGGCTCGGAGAGAAGAGGCTCGGAGAGAAGAGGCTCGCAGAGAAGAGGCTCGGAGAGAAGAGGCTCAGAGAGAAGAGGCTCGGACAGAAGAGGCTCGGAGAGAAGAGGCTCGGACAGAAGAGGCTCGGAGAGAAGAGGCTCGCAGAGAAGAGGCTCGGACAGAAGAGGCTCGGAGAGAAGAGGCTCGGAGAGAAGAGGCTCGCAGAGAAGAGGCTCGGACAGAAGAGGCTCGGAGAGAAGAGGCTCGGAGAGAAGAGGCTCGGAGAGAAGAGGCTCGCAGAGAAGAGGCTCGGACAGAAGAGGCTCGGAGAGAAGAGGCTCGGAGAGAAGAGGCTCGCAGAGAAGAGGCTCGGAGAGAAGAGGCTCAGAGAGAAGAGGCTCGGACAGAAGAGGCTCGGAGAGAAGAGGCTCGGACAGAAGAGGCTCGGAGAGAAGAGGCTCGCAGAGAAGAGGCTCGGACAGAAGAGGCTCGGAGAGAAGAGGCTCGGAGAGAAGAGGCTCGCAGAGAAGAGGCTCGGACAGAAGAGGCTCGGAGAGAAGAGGCTCGGAGAGAAGAGGCTCGGAGAGAAGAGGCTCGCAGAGAAGAGGCTCGGACAGAAGAGGCTCGGAGAGAAGAGGCTCGGAGAGAACGGGTGATAGAAAACAATCATCATTTGCTTTTATGACGCTACAGGTGAAAAATACAACATTTCACCAGAGAGTGTTGATGGTCCTACAAGAGAAGGACTATGTGCAAATACAAAGACACGTTTGCATTAACCAGAAAGACACTTGGTTATAACATGTGCTCGTGCCGTCACAGATGTGGAAATGTAAGGTCATGCTTGTGTTATCTTATGTATGTTTTACTGCAAATGTCAAATAAAATGAATCTGATTCTGCAGTTAGGTTATAAGTATTAGGCTCAAAAGAAATATGCAATTCTACTCAAGGGTAATTCTCTCTTTCGCCAATAGATGTCGCCATAAACACCAAATACAGCATAACAGAGAGAAAGGCTGCATCCAATTTGTTATTAAACCTCCTTTTCTTCTGAAATATACTTTTATGAAACCAGGAAGTCCAGGTTTGAGCAAAAGAGAACCTTTTTCATTGTTTTGAATTCACTATAGGAAAAAATGTATGCTAAAATGAGAAGATGTGACAAGGAAGGAAAAAGAAGGACATATTTTAGTTTGAATTCAGATGCAGCCGGACACAGCTTCAGGCAGATCATAGATAGAATGATATTGATCTCATGTAAACGATCATATTTGAGCAAATCCAACGCACCCGTGACTTTAGAGGCCGTGGATCCTGAGCCTGTGATGTCACATTTGTCACG